CAGGACCTACGGGATAAAATACGTATTTTTCTTTTCAAATTAAAGGGTACAGCTGTTATAAATAGGGGGTAAGAATGCCACTGCAGTGTTAAAAAATGTTTGGGCGCACCTATGCGCACGGACACCCTTCTGCCCGCTCAGCGGTACCGCGGGAGGCCCCTCAGCCCCGCGGCTGCAGCGGCCCGGCTCTCTCTGCTCTCTTACCTGGCAGGTGAGTGCATCGACCTCAAAACATGACATTCAAGCAGTAAAAATATTCAAGCAGTCAGATCTTCTAGGTCTTCTGCTTCTTCCGTACCAGAAGGCAGCCTGCGGGAGCACAAGACAGCGCATTTGGCCCTTAGCGGCCGAGCCGAGCGCGGGCTGGCAGGGCGGCTGCTGCCCGTCCCTGGCTGCCAGAGGGACGCTGGCTTCTCCCTGCCCTCGGTCCCGCAAGCCATCCGGGGCCACTGCCAGCGCTCGGCATCGGGCAGCCCCCCTTGTTTTGATGTTTTCGTGTTTTCTTAACCTTGATAAAGGGACCAGACAAGCGGAATGCTCATGGTAAATAAATTCTTGTTTATAACTCTGTCCATTTCAGTGAGGTGGAGATAGTAGGTGGGCAGTATCCTGTGTTAAATGAGTATAGAAGGAAAATAAACAGCCTACAACCTTCAACCTGTTTTAGGAACAAGGATGTTTACAAGACTATGACATTAATGAACCTAAAGAATATTTATGACATTAATCAAAATCAACTAACTAACAGGTCACTTTAGGAAGGCTAAATTTTCACTATCTGGGTAGTGAAAATCTTGGAACTTTTGAAAAAGAGAACCAAATTCTTTCATTGCATCAATTGTCTTAAATAAACAGTACACTAAAATGAGTCCTCATATTAAATACCATCCTTTTAATGGTTTTCAACAGAAGGAGATGGAAAACATTGGTGAAATTAACCTGACAGATGAGGTAGCAGAGCTGCAATTTTAGAAGTAATATCCTTCCACAAGATCCAATAAAAATGAAACAGTCCTGTGTTTTTCTGTAGGCTCCTTATTTTATTTTCTGTTGCTTTGACTGGCAAGCCCAAATATTTTAGCATGAATTTTATTACTGAGGAAAACAACATGATTATTTAATGAAGATTACATCAGAGATGCATCTCATACCTCTAATATCATAATATTAACTTAAGAAAAAAGTTTATCCAGCTGTTCTTATTAAAAACTCAGTAGATCAACAAGAAAACTGTAGCTATGGGTTTTTCTCCGTGTTTTTCTGAAATGAGCGTACACAGAAATTAGAATTTCTGCAAAGTATTTTTCCTTCATTAAATCTAAAATTTTTTATGAAGATTTCAGTGAAAAAATGTAGACACTAGTCAGAAATATATTCTTCTTCTATAGAAGTTGGACTAGATCTATGCCACCATTTTACCATTTTCCCTATTATGGTTATTGTGATGTAAAATGTTATTGGACCCCATGAACAGAATACTGATGACAAAAAGGGAAGGAAATCACAGAAATGTGTATTTTTGATTCATTTGCATTTTTGAAAATATTTTCCTTCTAAATTTACTGTGTGAATTCACACACTTGTTCTTTACACTACAAGTGTAAAGAAGTATCTTTATTTAGGTTTCAGTCTACCAGAAGGACTGAAATGCAAATTTAGTCCAAACCTTTGAATGACCCTTTTTAAAAACGCCAAGCAGTGTCACAGACTTGCCTGGAGGTTGCCATCAAGGATAGCAAATTTCTTGGTATAGAAAATCTCAGGGAAACCTGAAATACAGGACACTTGCCAGAGTAAATACTATTTAAGATTCTTCTGGTTTGTGTACATATAATGATCATTAGAGCTTCAGGAATAGTTATTAAAAGAAAAAGAGTGAGCACTAAGAGGACTCTGCTTGTTTCCTGACAGCATTACCTGGAGTTACCTAAACACCAGAGCGTGGTTCCATCAATAACTTCATTGTTATAGACAGAGAAAAAAGAATAACTGTTTTTCTTTCCTATATAGTCAAAGCATGGAAAGGAATCTGTTTCTTCATAGTGGAGGCAGTCCTTTATCCCTACTAAAACCAGCAGTGCAAATGTTTGCTACAACAGAAAATGTCTTAGGGGGTTTTATAATAGCTGCCCACTTCTCACTTAACAGAAATAAAATTGTTATAATTCCATGTAAACAGCCTTTCAGTCATGTGTCATATTCTAGTTAAGGCTGACCAGTACAGAATTTGATCTGTGAGAGGAGTCCAATGTAAGTGGCAGAATTGTTCCAGGAATAATAAATTAGGATTTATGTTGAAAAATAAATAGGGTGGATGTCATCTGCTGGGAAACACAACTGAGAAAAAGTAAGAACAGGAAATACCTGAACTGCAGGTCCCACGTGATGAAAGAGCAACATTAAAGAATGTTTTTCTTGGCCTTCACTAAACAGATGCTTTCTCCAAAAGATGTTCCTTAATTAAAAGAAAAATGCCAATATTCCCTTGATTTAAAAGAAAATAAATCATAACTGATACATTATAGACTACTTGTTTTCAGGTTTGAATTATCTATATGATCCTCTTAACCAGTATTGTAAAGCTTCTTAGCACCGAGAATATGCCACCAAACAGCAACCTCAGTAACCTTAGAGGCTTTTTGGGCCATGTTTCTCATTTAGGCTGAAGTTGTTTAGTGAAGATTGAAATTTTGTGGGCTCTGCTCAAAGAGAACATAACATTCTGCATCCCACACACAGAGATTCATGCAAAAATAGATATGGTTATTTCAAACTGCAAGAAATATAAATACTTCAATTCCAAACATTAGAGAACAAAATTAAGTACTTGTGCTCACACTTTCAACAGGAAGGGAAGAAATAATCACAGTTTACAGGAGGGTCTCTTTGCACCTGCAGTTTAGTTGCTGCAGTCCATCACCTCCACTACCTTTGAAAGTATACTATTTAAAAAATGTTAAGCCACACTTACAAAGAACTCTGAGTGCTTCCTGTGCTGTCTCCTTGCTCAGTCTCAACCAGGGCTGGAATCTAATAACTCGGAACTAGTGATTTCCTGGCAGAATATTATATTTCAGCTTACAACCATTCTTTCTGGGAATTGAGGTAGTGCTGTGGAAAGCATTGAATCCATAACTGTGCAGGTTGGATTAGATCTACTCTAATCTAATGTTTAAAAATAATATTTACCTTACTTTAGTGGAATTTTAGCCATTTCCTTTATTACTTTGATAATACTTCAGATATAGTTATAAACCCAGATGGGAAGGAAGAAAAAAAAGTCCCAGGAAAAATTAGGGACGAGATTTTTATATAAACGAGATTTTTTCCAGCATTCTGATATATGCATGTTTATATTTATATATGTATATGATATACAATCTATTATGAAGAAATAGTTTACTGCAAATATTTACATAAAGCATGTTGGCACCAGGGATTGCATACTATTTGACATATTCTGTTCTCATTATTGAAAAAGTATTGGTGCTTTCTAATGTACTGTTGATAAGAAGGCAACCACAATATTAATCTTCCAGGCTAGCACTCCAAATTTCCTTTACAAGAGACAACACAAAATGCATTCATATTTTTGTATTCTTATACCAGATCCATATATATCTAGCAAGCACCAACTTATTTTCACCAGCCCTGAAACGGTTTGACTGGATGCAGCCTGGAGATTTATGAATACCACTGTAAAGATCAAAGTTTGTTGTCACCATGTCTGGTTAACACAGGCAATTATTAAAAGGAAGGAGAAAACTATTTGTGCCAGAACTTGGACCCTTTAATAACTCAGAGTCCTATGTTTAGAACAGAACAAGGAATTACAACACACAATATTTTGAGGCTTTATTTCCAGTCATTTTATTCCATTCAGGATTTCAAATAGAAATCCTAAGCTGCCACAGGTTTTGTTTTTGCATGAACAGTTCTTCCACAAACAGGGCAGAAATTACTTTCAGACAGGAATCATTATTTAAATAACACATGATTCCACCTAGTTACAAATACACTGGCAGAGCAAGAAAATTAAATTGGGGGGGGGAAGACTTGGCATATTTCATCAGCTCAAAGAATTATGAAATGAAGTTTTAGAGGATCTGCAAACCCAAAACACCACAAAGGTCGCCTATCCGTGCCTATTTATTCTACTATGCTTAATGACAAATTTTGCAAGCAAACCATTTGGTAAGAGCTTCATCCTGAAGAAATGAAAATAACAATAGTAAAACTCAACAGTTATATAAAATCATATATGTTTAGAGATACACAATTTAAATTATGAGGTTTTTCCTCAAAGAAAAAACCATTCAAATTGCTACTGAGTGGAAAAGGGAGGCAGCTCAAATTACTTGGGGTGATTCAAGTTCACACCTTTCTCAGGGGTAAAAAAGAGTTCACAGTCATTCCTCAAAATCCGGAGAATTATATAATCAGTCTTGGGTCTCTGTCCAACCTGGAATTCATTTTTTCCCTGGCTCCTTGTTTTCAGGACACTCATTTCTCTTCTGCAAGAGAGAATCTTAGATCCACTTTCATCCCTGTAATGCTTACTGGGCTCAATCCCCTCATTGTCCCTTTGATTTCCCACTTGGAGCCTCTTTGAGGCAGTTCCCAGCCTGTCCATATATTTCTGTAGGCAATATTCTTTCAGAACACCTGGTTTTGGCAATCACCTTGAGTAAAGCTGAGGACATAATTAGGTCCTCCATGGGCCCTGATATGTACAAGATCTACACAGCCCCTTACAAGGATGGAAGAAAAGTTCTGAAATTAAAATAGTCAAAATCCCTGGAGTTTTAGAAAATGTGGACTTTGCCTAAATTTTCTATTTGGCCACAACTTTCAGAAGACATTACGTAGCAGTGGGTCCATTAAAAGTATATTTATGTCTTCTACATAAAAGAGTGAAGACCTTCAGAAGACCTCTGAACTGAAAGTATGAAGACTTTACTCATCAAAATTCTTTTCAGTTACTTAGGGAGTTTTATTCTTATACAGACTTCAGCATTACCAATACTAGAGAGCTCTAGAGGATACAGGAATTAAGGAATACCATCAAGGAACTACAGCCATACTTCTCAGCTCTTGAGGGTTTTTAATAAATCTAACAGTATTAAAGCTGAGGGGAAATGATATTTAATTTCCTTTTGTTCACTATCTTTATTTTTAAGATACCATGGAAAGTTATGGGAGACTTGTCCCAGGTTTTGGAGACCCAGTCTATCATAAATCCTTAAACTTACGTGTTAGTCTTCTTAACAGACTGTTGCCTTCAATTTTCTTGTGTTTCAGCATTTCCTGATACCATCAGAGACCACAGGTGAAGTGTTGAAATAAAGCAAGAGTTTTCTCCTGATGAGATGTCCAGACAGACACGACTAAGGAGATGAGCAGCTACCCATATCCTACGTATAAGGTTCCATTGTTATATTACCCAGCACAGGGGAATTTCGTCCAATCTGTTTAATTAATTTTAGTACTTACATTTCATGCTAATTATTTTTCCCCACCTCAATATATTGTGAGCTGAGGATTTTTTTAAGAGAATCATTAGAATACTCTCAGTAATATTCTGGGGAAAAAAAGGAAAAGGAAAAAAAATGAGAACATTTGGCACTGTCTTTATTTTAAATTATATTGGTTTGACTAACATCTAAGAGTAATTTTAGCCACATTGTTTCTTCTGTGGTAATTGCCCATAAAAGAGTGGGACAACAGGGTGAAGGAATGGATCACCCAAAGATCTACCCAAATACTAAAACTAGCCCTTCCTTATACTGAGGGTGGCAGAGCACTGGCTGCCAAGGGAGGTTGTGGAGTCTCCTCGTCTGGAGAGACAAAACCCAGCTGGACACGTTCCTGTGTCACCTGCCCTAGGTGACTCTCCTTGGCAGAGGGAGTGGACTTGATCTTCAGAGTCCCTTCCAAACCTGGCTACTCTGTGATTGTGCAGTATCTGAAATACAAGAGTACATTTTTTTCTGTCTCACAGTTTTTTTTTTCCCTTAGCTCCAGTGCAAGTATGTCTTTCAAACCATCTGGAAGGCTGAGAAACAGCTGACAAAGTGAATTTTCTTTTCTGTGCAAAATATTTAACTAAAAATGGTTTCGTTTTCATCTACTTTCTTCATGCAAAGCAAAGATAGATAACCATACTTCAGAAGAATTCCAGCTGTGTTAGTTTGAAGGTCATCTTTTGAAAACTATGTGTAGTATGTATCCTGTATGCTTCTATACACAATTATTACTTTCCTTGGTTTTGTTAGCATGTCCTAACTATCAACCGCAACTCCTGTTTTGCTTGGCAAGCCTCCCAACAGTCAACAGATGTTTTCTCCCTCCTATTTCTTCCCTGAGCAAATGACTTCCAAATGATATCATCTCTCCTTGAACATAGGGTGACTCCCTTTGTCCTGGGGTTCTCTTCTGAGCCCTGGTGTGTAGAAACTTAGTTAATAAAAAGGACCCATTTTCTGAGACGGTGAAAACTTTGTGTCTACAAAATTATACTATGGACCACGAAGGCAAACAGACAGTATAGCCAACCAAGCTTACCTTTAAAGGGTCGTAAGGCAAGAGTCTCAGTTATGAAAATCTGCAATTCATAATGGGTTTGCATGGCATGCTTCTCTGCCCAACAAAATAGTTTCCATTTACCTGCTGGAAAGCTTTATTTGATAAGTGATTTGGTGCTTGCCACACACTGTCCTACAATTGCCTGTAAGAGCCACTAAGATTCAAAGAATATGCATTGATCGTCTGATGCTACTTCCTTTTGTAATTTCTTTAGAGGAGGCAACATATGATATGGAAAGAAAATCAAGACTTCTCAAGCTTGGGCTGAGTTGAAATATCACAATTAAGTCATCTAACTTTTTCATGCTAAAGGTCTAAAAGCAAAACAGGTATTTATTGGAGCCTTCTAGACCAGAAAAATAATCAAGAGAGGGTATTTTTCAATTAGCACTTATTATTGTTAAGAATCCTCGATATCTTTTAAGACTGAGCTGAGCTCTTTTTATCCATCTAGAAATCTCAGTTAGTTAAAAGTACAGTTTTGCAATCTGTATTTGAAGTATGTGTTTGATAAAGTACAGTAGATACACTTTCAGGAAGGGACATAATTTTGAGCATTTGAAAATGACATATTTCAATGTACATTTGGACAATAAACTTCACAGTTGGATAGGGCATGGTGCTAATAACCCCAAGGTCATGGGTTTGATCCTCATATGGGCCATTCATTGAACAGTTGGACGCAGTGATCCCTCTGGGGCCCTTCCAACTCAGGATATTCTGTGATTTCTGTGATTTTTGTGACTTCTCTCTCTCCAAGCAAATGTGATATGCAAACTCAGCACACAGGAGGAAGGAACTTTTGAAGAAAGAAGGATTCTGTATACCTTATATCTTACTCTCCTAGTTTTCCAGCAAGATTTATGGCTGTTTAAAGCAGAAGACTCAATTCTCTTACATAAAGTTACTCTTTCAGGCCATCTGGTGTCTGCAGAACTTCTTATAACTGTCCTCATAACTGCCCTCTCCCTGTGCAACATGCATCCTCTGGCCTGGAGGTCCAAGTATTCAACATAAATCTTAGACAAGATGAGGAGAAACCCTTCTTTGAGAATTTTCCATTGTCTGAGATTGTCTGCAATGGTGTAATGATATCATTTGAGCTGGTAGGGTCTTTCTATCTCTGAAGAGCTGCTCTTTGCTGAATACAAAAACCCATCTCTACCAGGTACACTCTGACATTATACTTGACTTTATTTCTTTATTTTTAAAATCCTTTACTGACATTGGCAAATCCTAACCACAGTCCTGTGAGTGACTGGCATGTTATGAGACCAGAAAAAGGTGCAGAACAATAAAAAAATTACTTATCCAGACCACTGAGACAGACAGCATTTCAGATTTGAAGTAAGAAGCAGAAATTTCTGGATGTCAACTACATAATCAACTACAGATTCTCTTCAAATAATACATACAGAATCCAAAGGCAAAAGATCAATAGTGACTTACTGCAGGCTCAGGTACAGCAGAAAGTTTTCTAAGACTGCAAATTCTGGGATGTTATCAGTAACCTTGGCCTGGCTGCTTCCTTTAACCCACACCTAAGGTGTGGAAAACCAGTCTGGCTGCTTCCAAACCAGTGTTGGTTTGGCAAAAGCTCATTCTGTGGTGAGGAGGGGCCCTCACAAACAGCAGCTGTCTGTCCATCCTTCCCGTGGCAGTGGGAGCAGCAATCCCTACTTTCCATGGTCTTTCCCTATAACAGACTTCCTGGACATCTGTCCCTATATTTCCTGTGGCAGGGCCCTCTCCTGAGACAGCAAAATTCACGTTCTTCTACATTGCTGAGAAGCACTGGGTCAGTTCTGCTTGAGAATCACAATTTTTAATGACCAGTAAGCGGTTACTTTCAAATTCATCACTCTTTATTCCTAAAGACACCAATGTAAGGAAAACCACAAGGTGCCAAGTCTTAGTAGCTAATAATCTGATTCACTGTCTCCGCCTTTCACCATGGTTGGAATCTTAGACTCTAGTTTTACTGCTCTTCAGGGACCTCTGACACATCTTTGAGGTCTGTGTTGAGATTAAACAAAAGAAATTTGTGAGCATGGACCACCTACACAGCGTTAAACCATTTGAAATTAAATACTTTTCTGATTATGCAGTGTTAAAATCCTTACTGTTATTACAGTTTAGCTTATTCTGGATTGCAAATTCTCAATTTTTTTTAGCATATAAAGGTAAAGCCCGGAATCAGTCAAGCCATTTTTCACTATAAGTAATTGTTCTTCCATTTGATATACACTAGGAATCGTCTCTCGGCAAGGTTTTCCCTCATCATTAGGTTTTGTTCTCATAACAGAGCTGTTGGATTTGAAACAAAAATGTGGTTCTCTAACCACAAAAATCCAACAAGGAGCACAAAGTAAAAGAATCCTTAAAAGGCTTCTGGTTTTGGTTTTAATTTTAAATATAGTATTAGTAAAGCACTTTTAAAATTAGATATGTCAGAAATCTACAAACAGAGCACCTAATATAAATGGAATGTAGCTTAAAATCTCAAGTCTTCATATGCAGGCTTCATATGCAGCTACTTCAAAAGTATAATTTTGAACATCACAAATACAAGGATGAGGAGAAAAGTTATATATCCTTATTCCTTCCCATCTCCTCTTTGTAGAAAATGCTGGCATAACCCTTCAAAGCTCTGGTATATTCTGAAGAATTTATTACCTTCAAGTTCATTAAATGATCTGCAAATTTTAGTAAAATTTTGTGCTAATGTCTAATAAAATAACAGATCTCAGAAAAATGAAGTTACCAATCATTCTAAAAATATGTTTTGTATTTTATTGTGACTGATCCAGAATTAAGGTATAAAACCCCCTTCACATTAGTTTTTACATATGAGTTTAGGGCTCCTGTGCTGCTTCCTTAACTGTTTGTTATGAACTTGAAACAGTACCCCCTTCACTAAATCACATTGAATTGCCATTGTGCTTGATAATCTATTGGTATATGTTTCATTATGTTATATTCTAGAAGAAAACAGATTACTGAGAAAGACACAATGTTTTCTACAAATGCATGTTTGATAAATGTTTTTTACAAATCAAATTAAAAATCCCAGGAATCTTCATAGCTTCTTTTCATTCCATGACATTCAAAGATTTCTTTCTAGTCATCTGGGGGCATTTCAATAAACTGGATAGTCACACAAATCCATATTTCTGAGCTCACTGACTTTAACAGAGCTACACAAAAGAAAAAAATGGCCTCTTTTTGCTAATAAAATGCTAGATAAAAGGAGTCACATGAAGTCAAAAAATCCCTAATTCAAGCTGTACCCCACAGTCCGAATTTATCCTCTGCAGTGTTTTCCTGATCCACTTGGCCCAAGATGTATGAGATAATGAAAGACTTGTGGGACAGTCATGACTACATTTCTACACCCCCATTCCACAGAAAAAGCATCTCATTCATAGAAGAAAACCATGAAGATAGCTAGGCTCATAATTTGCTATGTATAACAATCAAAAACGGTCCTGAAAAGATGTGTTGATAATTGTGAGAAAAAAATATTTGAATATCTTATTGGTGGTGTGCCAGATACATGCTCCATTTACTTTTTTCTCAGACAGAGGTTTTCTTAGTTAGAAGATTTCCTTGCCCACATAACTGCTTTATTTCTTCCAATTTCTGCGTCTCATAAGCTATCTAAAATGCAGAGCAATGGCACTCTCCATGCATCTCAGCATATCACTTCCCCATCTGTCCAAATCAGGTGCCTGTCCCGACTAAAATGAAGCTTTTCTCTGTTGCATATCTAGACTTAATTCTGAAGGAAATCCAGTGCTGTGAATAATGGGATGTGCAAGTGCATCTGACTGTTACACAGAATCAAAATGCTGCTTGGGCATGTGCCCATCACCAGCTTAATGCATGGCAGGAAGTCCTGGACCTCTTTCATAGTGCCTGTGTAGCTGCTGTCTCTCACAGATGCCTCTTGCAGAGGTGAGACAGATCCTGTCAGATCCTCTTCTGGAGACCATTTGTCACAATCCCCTAAAATCTCGTCAGCAATACAAATTCAATTACCACTCATGGTGTCATTAATTGCCTTATTTCTTATTAAAAAAAGCAAGCATTGAGCTTTCTCTCTAATAGGTAGTCTTGGCTGTTAAATCCAGTTCACCATGATTTAAGCAGTTCTGAATAATCTTTCACCATGTTCTCACTACAGATAAATGCTATTTCATGTCTAATTAAGATGCTCAAATTAGACTTTACCTTTCCTGAGATAAACAGAATTTTGGCAGTTTAATATCTGCTATGAGAAATTAATTAGACTTTCATTTTTTCTGGATTTAGAATAGTTCTGCTTCCAAATTACTTATAGGTTACTTAAGCTATTTATTCATTCTCTGAAAAAAAATTTTGATTTTTCACATATGTACCAACAGCTTCATTGTATGCTCCATGGTCCTCAAATTGTGAGATATATAGTAAAATATAGTTCTCTGGTTAAGAATATAGTACAACCAAACAACAGCACTCCTGAACTGTCCTAGATTTTTTTAATCAGAAATCTATTATTTTGTCAATGAGTTTTGGAACTCATTTTCCTCGTCAGTCTGTTCTTGAATTTCGCATTGTTCACCTATAGGCTTTGAAATCTCACAAAATGCATTGGTTTATATCTGATGCCATGTCTGACATTTTTCATAATAATTTCTCATTTCATGCCACCATCATCACTTCTGCTGTGGCAAAAACTGGAGGAACAACAAAGCAAGGTTAGAAGACATTTTGCCAAACAGTCTGATGTACACTTTAACTAGAAACACTGCCCTAGAAAAGGGAACAAAATTGGAGTTACAACTATACAGCTTTGCAATACCAAAACCACCAAAAAATACCAATGACGGAGACAGACTTATGCACAGCTTTCTCTGTCTACTCCCATACTCAGTCCTCTTCCATGAGCACTTCCAGGAAAAAAATTCAATGTCTACAAAAACTGCAGATTTGGAAATACCCAATGATAGTCTCCACAATAGAATCATCTAGGTGAAGTTCAGGGCCAAAAAACTCAGCACATGACTCTTAATACAAAATTAAATCTTTGACCCTTTCCACACAAGTATACACATACACAGCTGTCAAGATTATTATCTACTCTCTTTACCTTTCTACATTTCAAAGTTTTAGGATACATTTGGTTTCTTGGAAAGCATCTTACTGAATATCTGCATCACAAACAAACCTGAAGAAAATGTAGAGGCCTAATTTTATTTTTAGGGACTGCCAACAGAAGGCATACAAATATGCTTTCTTCAATATTGACACGAGTGCCTAGACTCAGGGAACAAAAAGTGTAAGAAATTTTCCAGATGGACCAAAACACCCTGTTACTTGTTTAGAATCTCGCAACACAAACACTTCGGGTCTAACAGCTGCCAGAATGGGTGTGTTTGTGTGTGGTGCACGCATATGTGTGTGTATCTCTCCCTTTTTTTGCTCTGTCTTTTCCTATTTTTGTAGAGCCTGCTCTCTGGCTTTACTTTTTTGCAGCAGTTTTTGCCAATCCAAAATATGTAGACACTAAGTTAAATCACTCGTTTTGTTTATGTGGCAACAAGTTCAGACTTCTTGCCGAAAAATGTTCTTGGCTTTGGACAAAGCAGGCTTTGAGATGCTTCCATCTGTTTTGAATACACCACAAATCGTAGTATGGAAACCATTGCTCTCAACTGGTAGCCAATTTGCTGAATAAACCTATATTAAAAAAAATCAGTATGATTCAACTGAAGACTATTTTCATATTTTTATATAATTTATTTCAAAGTAATCCAGTCCTTATATGGAAGAACTTTAAATACTTAGGTATTTTCTTTCTGGGAATAGGGTGAAGTAAGTAACAAAGATTTAAATTCATAAATTGGTATTACCAGTGAGGGGAAAAAGTTCGGGCTCTTGATGTTCTTACATAGTATTTCTCATAATGGGGCCTGAGCAGTGTTGCAAAGGTAAGCTTTCAGTCTCTCAGCAATTTCACTTCTTTGTGTCTTCTACTACTCCTTGGAGAATTTGAGAGAATTTGTGAGTCAACAGTATACACAGTCTTGGACAAAGGAGGATATTAACTGCTTTGCCTTTTGTGTGTTGTGGCAATCTTGGCACATCTTTCTACTCTTCCTCTTTTCTCACTCCCATTGTGATTTCCACTTCTAGTTTTGGAAAGAGACAAGGGTTTCTTTAACAAGATGTATAGATAGCGCCAGCAATAAGGACTCCCAAACAAAACTGTTTTCAAACACATTTCCTTTGGACCCCAGGAGATTATAATCATAGCATATCTCAAGCTGGAATGGACCCATAAAGATGGTCAAGTCCAATTATCTGTTCCTCACAGGGAGTTCCATCTTTCAAGACAGTCAGCAAAATGTGATTTGTGCATTTGATTTTACATGAAAACTAACTAGAGGATTTACTCAAAAGCGCAGAGGAGACACAGTAATAAAACCTTGAGCAATTTTTTCAAATATATCTTTCAACCCACAGCATTGGTGCCCACATTCTTCTTCTAAAATCCAGAATAGAGTGGGAATGTGTTCTAACTTATCTACATTATGCAAAACTGAATCTTTCTGATAGGTATTTCTGTCTTGCGTTCCCTTCCAGGCATGGTCTGTTTTCAGAGACATAGCAAACCAAAAATACACAAAGTCCAGAAGTCAAGAGCCAGAAGCAAGGGATTCTGTGACTGTTGTGGTAAATTGCCTGGGATAAATGTCGTGTCTTATGGCTGTGTTCCAAATTTATTGCAGAAGAACCTGGCTTAGGAGAGCCAGGTGATGGAGAAGGCACCTCATACTGCAGCACCTAGTAATAATTCCTAATTTTACTCCAAGGCAGATGTAATATAAATGATTCAGCTGAGCTTGAGAATGTCCTGAAGTTTGAACTTTTCAATAGTCCAACTACATTATTGAAAAAACCAAGCTGCAAGCAAAGGCTGGGCTGACATGCAACAGAGCTGTTAATGAGTACAAAACATTGGTTTCCATACGCAATATTTAAAATATACCAAGAGAAAATCACTGGAACAAGCATCTTTACTATAGGTTTGCAGTCATTTTCAGTCAGCTCTGTCAGCCATTATGTTATCCTCAATTCTTTTATGCTTAGCCAAAATTTAGAATTATATGAGGACTGCATATATGTATTCAGTAAAGAGGAAACAAAATCCTGTTGCTTCATTTTTGCATGATTTAACTCAAAGATTCCCTCTTATTCTATCTACGTGTTTTTTTATGGTTGCAGATGTTGTGAAGTATAACCTCAGATGATGCAGAAGTAATATCTATAAGTATGCAAAATTAAATCAAATCTTGGAGGTGCTGGTGCTAACAACTGGCCTGTGATGCTAGCTTTATTCTCTTTTCTATGTTTCTACTTCATCCTGTCTCCTGGTGTTGCCTGAACAAAAGCTCTGAGAAGCAAGAGGCAGCTTTGCTCTGCACCTGGGCTGGAGCTGCTCCTCCCCTCAGCAGAGAGCAGGACACGAGGGTGCTGCTGCACGTGTGGAACAAGTGGCAATCTGCAGTGCTGAGAGGAGCACAAGGTAGGTACCAGCTGCATACTGTAAAGATATAAAGGAGAAAAGATCTCAATTCCTCTACCATGTGTTTGCCAAGATACCCTTGGAAGAACAGACCCAAGGAATGTTAGGATAAAAATTCAATTCGATTCACAAACCCTCATCATATCTTTCACTCTTTGGGCAAAGTATTGGTTAGTATTCAACACTTGTTCATCCTTTCTGCTATCAATACTATTACAAATTTAACTGATGAGATCTTTCATTGTTAAATTGCCAGTGCTATTACAGTTTGCTCCCTGGGTGGGGACTTGTTTCTCTTTCTCTTTCCAATAAATTACACTTTTTAAAAAATATTTTTTGTAATTTCTTCTAAGGACAACATCTCATACCTTCATAACACCCAAACCATGAAGTAAGGAACTAGTAATTAAACCATTAAACCCTCTCACTTCTCTAAATTTGAATAGTATGTGTTAGAGAGACCAGAAGGTATTCTTATACAATGAACTGATTCATTGACTCACTTATTTTGAGCCATGAACATCACATATATAAACTTTATCCAGTTTTAAGCATAACTCAAACCCTTTTGCCTCTGTTTAGGATTGGTACAAAATGACCTTACATGAGTAACTTCTCAACACAGTAAATCTCTCATGCCATAAAAAGAAACTTTCAAGTGACTTCCTAATGTGCTGTAATTTACACTTCATCATCTCTGAATATTTCCCAATAGACATCACTACTTATATCTCCAGTTAGATATATCAAAGAAGGCATTTTCTGCTACATTCCTGGATTTCTATTAACTTGATGCTGTCATTGTAATCTGTAACTTTACTGAGGCTTTGCTCCAGTTTGGCACTCAGCTGGATCTAGTAGTCTGATCTGGAAGAAGGTCGAGGCTCTGATGTTTACGATTGCACCCTTATAAGGCATCTTGGTTCACTTCCAATTGTTGCTATTTCTATAAAGCTTTCATATTTTTATGAATTATTTGTGCCATCAAACCAAGAACTCTCATTGTTGATAGTATCACAATGTTATTAGGTAAGAAATAACATCTAACATCTCAACTTCCATGTGCCTCCACAGAGTGAGAAGTGAAGAATTCCTCTGTTCTTCCCCACAAGCAGATAGCAGGAATATATATAGGCTGTGCACAATGTACAAGGAAAGCTGAGCCCCTGGGCTTTCAGCAAGTTGTCAGCTTGTGCTTACTCACACAGTGCTCCTCCACAAGCCTGTTTTACAACACATATCCTTACACTCAAACCTGCTGAACCTCAGAAGGCAATAGGGTTTTTTTATCCTGAAGTTCTGAATTGTAATGGAAGTGGGGAAGGGGGAAAACTTGAAGAAGTTTTCCCCCTTGAAACTTGAAGAGGGAGGGGAAAACTTGAAAGAAAAAAACCCAGTTTAAAAGAGGGCCTGTCCTTCCACTAGGCTGGAGCAGAGCACGCTCTCCCCAGGTAACACTTGGCACAAGCATGGCTGTGACTTTTTCCCTCCTTTTTCAACCAAACACATTTTCACCACAATCTCCTAGCAATCTTTCTAATCACTTCCAGATCAAAAATGTAACAAAAGTGCTTATTTTTCTGCCATGTGCTTCTGCTGCTCAGGCTATGACAGTACCTCAGTAGACCAGGGCAAACAGGGCTTTTTTTCTGTGTACACCATGTGCTCATGGAGTTCTTTCCAATAAGGGTCTGTAACCACTGCAACACAAATTATTTATATGAGCATATTGGAAAGTGATAGCATCACCCAGCCATATCTGTCTGCTAACCCAACATGCCAAATGGGTACCTACAGTGACATTCAGAGCTTTGCCAGTAGTATACCTGCTATCTAGACATAAGAGTAAGCTGTGCACATTATTTACCTAATATAAATCCTAACTTTTGTTCTGATCTGTCCACATCTTCAGGTTGAAATACTATCCAGGCAGTGGTATTTAGAAGTTATATATGTCTATGATTCATTTTTCATGCAGACAGAATATTATTATAAATTTCAGTGAGAAGAGGGAGGTTTAATTTTGAGTGGTAATTTTATAATCAGAAAAAATATTCAAAATGCTAAAGTATCTAACTGTTTTTTACAGGCAGCTCATCAGAACTGACTGAGAAAAGGTGACAACATAAAATTTTAAATCATGTAAACTTACAATAGGTTTTTTCAAAGTAGTTCTAAACAAAGCGTTCTGGCTTCCCTTTTTCTTCTCTAATGCGCTGTTCCTGTGAATGCAGTTTGCTTTGCATGCTTTGTTCTCTTTTCCTACAGCAACACCTACTGTTAAAAATACAACTGGAATTTTCAGTTACAAGTCCACGAGGTTATTTTTAAGTAACCACTAGCAGTTCAAACATTCAAAGTGATCCTAATCCTGTTATACAATGTGTTTTGTTTCCCCAACAACCTTTTTAGGAAGCGATCTCCTATCTAAACTTCTCTCTGAGTGCAAAAGACACGAATTAGAGATTTTTAGAAAATCCTGAACCTGATTGAAATATCTGAACTGACATTCCACCCTGCAGTAGGTCAGTGACAAAACTCAAGATGTGGACTAAGAGTTTTTAAATCCAGCACCCAACCTGACTTAAAATCAAAATATTAAAATAAAGAACAGATATTCAAAGAAGATCATTTTAATAAAAAATAAAGCCATCTTATTAAATTTGATCTGGTTTTAATTAAGGATTTCAGTTTCAGGGAAGTTTGATCCCAGGTTTTGGATGCAATTCTATCCTTAATTTCACCTAAGCTGTGAGGAAAAGTTTAGTTTTATAATTAGTGTTCATGCTTTGAAGAAAAATTATATAGAGCACAAAACAGAGACCTACAGAAAGCCCAAGTACAGTGTCCATTCTTGTAAAAAGTTAAGTGAATATTTATAATAGAATAACAAAAAACATGTACTTGGTGACTATTAGATTGTTTTGACAGAAGGTTGGTTCACAGCTTCTGTTCCCAGATTTATAGAAACTGACAGCAGAGCTAGCACTATTTCTTGTTTTGAGAAAATGTATTCTATGTTTCTCTGTGACTAAGGTCACTGTGTGTCATCATGTTCCCTAGAGCATGCTGCGAGCAAAGTTCAGCTCCAAGAAGCCCGTTAGCAGACTGTTTTTCTGAAGTCATGTTCTATGTCTGTCTTTTATACCTAGAAGAATTCATAAGTTTATATACAGAAACACTCTGTGACTGTGTCATACTTTGTCTGAATTTGAATTACTCATGTATTCAAAAGATAAGCTGTTTAAATGAAACACATCATTTGATTTGAGCCAGCTGAAAAAACAGAATCTTTTATTCTCAGAAGTTCCTACAATGGATTTTTGCTAGCTGTTAAAGATTAAAAAATCTTTTAAAATCTCACAAATACTTAGAAAAGAAAAGCACTTTTCATTGTCCTCCTCAATCTTCCCTGATCCTTTGCATATGAACCTATATTTCTTTATGCATTGGCCTGACAGGTCATGAAGATATGAATTTCCAGAGGCACAGTGAGGAAGACTGAATAACAGGATCAGTGAATAGATGGCAGCCCAGTAACACCACTGGCTGTCTGGGCCAGCCAACAGCTCTTAACACTTTCTGTTAACTTTCCCTTGTCTGAACTGCCATAGATGCATTGATCTGCATATCCAAGCAATCTGTGTTTACCCATTTAGTCATGAGAGAAAAGGATATGTATTACATACATTGGAACAGGTTGCCCAGGGAAGTTGTGGATGCCCTGTCCCTGGAAATGTTCAAGGCCAGGTTGGATGAGGCTTTGAGCAATGTGGCCTAGTGGAAGATGCCCCTGGCCATGGGAAGTGAGGTGGAACTAGATTATCTTTAAAGAACTCTTCCAATCCAAATCTTTACATGATTCTGCATTTTTTGTGGACTCATGATGACAGTCCTTAGCAATCCCATCTAATATAATGTACTCCTCAAAACCTGACTTTTGTCACATTCATGTAGCAAAATACTCACAGTTCAAACTGGAAAAACTCCTAAATTTTCAAGTTCCCTACAGGGAAATGCAAGAAATATACATCACAGCACTGTACAGAGGCTGCTTTTTTCTATGAAAAGTAATTTCACTATGGATGAAGCAATTTCCTTGTTCAAATTGCTATATCAAACCAGACTCAACTAAAATATAGAAGACACATAGAAGCTGAACTGCAGGCCATACCCTACCCTAACCATTTACATTGTGTTCCCTTGTATAGTAGACTTCAAAAATATCTTTATATAAGAAATTGTCACAGGCCTGGTTAATGATCTATATGTCCTTTGAAGCCAACTCAAACTATCCCTTCTCAGCAGGAGAATTTGTGCATATAAAGAGGAATTTTCATGTCTATGAAGTAGTTTAGGCTTATTCCACAGGGAATGCAAATTTCATAAAATTTTATCTATGGACAGTGTGCAATATTCACCACGATTTTACTGCAGCATAATAATGAATAATCATGTAACGAGATTAGGTCTGGCACAGATCACAATGTGCTGCGAGTTTACAACTTATGGAGTTACTTCTTTAACTCAGCTGCTAAAAGTGGAGTTAGAACTTGAAAGAAAACCTGCTGCAGTCCATGTGAAAATTTCCACTGACTTCAATATGCTTTAGTATAAGCCTTTTCAGCTGAGCGTCTCCAGTGGAGTTCAACTGATGAAAGCATTTGAATGTGGATGTGATTTGCTATGTAAACATATGATGGAATATGCTTTCTGTGGATTCTTTGGCTGGGGACAAAGAATCTGGTAAACATTCACCCCCTTCAGACTGCAGTTTCAGCAACTGAAAGTTTTGTTTTTTCTGAGAACTGTGTGAACAGAAGCTAAAGTTCATAATAGCTCTCTAAACACTACTGTCTGGTTTCTGTTAACATTTCCATTACCACGGTTTCTCAGATAGTTTCACAACAATGCTGAATTCCCAAGGATGCATTAGGAAAAGATATGAGCTCCCGGTGAGTGGGTTTTTTTACTGCACAGCTCAAGTGTCACACTAGAGATAGATTTTCACTTAGACACTCACCTAGGAAGAGCAGAATCACCGAGGGAGTCAAGTCTGGCCAATAATGACCATGCAATAAAATTGCAGGAGGAACAAAGGCTGAATGCCTACCTATTGTCAAGAAATGGTCTTGAGATAGCGGTGCATGGCTTATCAGAAAGGAATGTTGTGAGAACTCTTTGTGTACTTGAGTTTCCACAGATGCACACAGATAAACCTATTTACTTGTTATGACTGAACCTTGGTAGACATAACTAAACTATCTAGTATGACCAAGAATCTTAATTTTTAAATGTTATACATATAAAATATTTTTTAATACTTTTAGTTAGAATAAAAACTTTCATTATTTTCAGCCAGTCACTTAAAAGAACTACTACAGCTAGCATAAAAGAAGTTCTCTAGAATTTTGACCAAAATTATCTAGTAAAGCTTATTTTCACTCAGTGAAGATATACACAAGCAACTGGAGTAGCATTAACCTTTATCTTATGGAAAACTTGGAACTGACTATTCTCTATCTTAGGTAGACATCATAGAGAGACATTTCTAATGATGATAATTCCACTGATTTTGTGGATGCACTGCCTTGGCAGGAGTGAATTTACATGGAGAAAAATTATCCCATTTATAAATCAGGCTGCAAGATTCAATTTGGGAAAGGTTAAAGAATACCTCTTTCATGCACACCTGAACAAAGCCAGTAAAATTGAGAAAGCTATCTATAGGGAATGAGTCTCTCCCTGTGATGGATAAAAGCTTCTCATAATTTTGGCATTGCTTTCAGCTTAAATTGCATTCTAAATATAATATATTCTAATAGATATAGGTGCAACTGATAACATTTCACAAACATTTCAATGGCACTGACAAGCTCTTCAGTTGAAAGAAAATTCTCCTTTCGTGTGCAAGAGCAGATTGCAGTTCCAATATCTTTCTTCCCCAGCACACACAGAATTGATTTCAGCATCTGACAGAAGCTTCAGGAATGATCTCTGAAAGAACTAAAAAGCAGAATCCATGAAGTAAATGTAAATGAACCACAGATCACAAGTAATGTTGTCCCAAAGGAAAGAAGAATCTCCAAAACCTTCCAAGGACATACCTGCTTCCCAGATGAGACCAATGTTCTGTACTGCAGTAAGATGAAAGTGCACATGCATTCAGGTGCTATATAAAAGATATGTGTTACATGCACATTAAGTATAGTAATCTTGTGGTCCCAGAACTAACTGCTCTGTCATATTCTACTAGTATAGACATTGTTAAAAGTCTTAGTGAGGCTGCAGATCACCAGGAGAGGACCTAAACCTTGTAATGCATTTTGAGATATACTATAAGGAGAGATGGTAAATACGTTTCTATTACTTACACAGATATAAAGACAAAAATACACACAAGCACACGCATATAAAAAAATTTGCAAAAGGCTAGTCCCTGGCCATAGGCAACCATGTGGCCAACTGACAAGTACACAAAGGTTAGGAAAAGAATATAAATACTTTCTCATATAGTTGTCAGACAGAAATATTCTCACTTACTTGAAGCCTTTTCTGTAAAGTTGATTATTTATTATTTATCAAAAAATCATAAGTTGATCCTTGTACTTTCACTGCCAGGAATATTTAAAGGAAGCTTTAAGGACAGTTCAGAGTCTAGGAAGTGAAAACTTCTGCTGCCCAAAAGAGGCATAAAAATGCCAGTTTCACAAAATAAGCTCTGCTAAAGTGATCAGGCTGCAGACTGAAAAATCTAGTTCAGAAGTTAAAAATGTAATACCAAACCAGGCAGTACAGACTAGATAGAACCTTTTCAGCACCAGACAAAGAGGATAAATTGGCTGAGCAACTGTCTTGAAGGAAATACTTTACTGGTCTGTAGTATCTCTGAGCTAAAGGACAAATGTTGGAAAGTGACAGAAGCTTCAGCTGCCTTCCAAAAGGTGTGTTCAGAAGGCCTTATGTCCCACAAAATCCACACACAGGGTGCTGCCAGAGCTATTTTTAGTTTTGCCTTCTTCTGTGTCTTTCTACTGTAGTGGTTCAAATCTCTTTGATTTTGTTTCTTCCAAACTATGGCTAAGTTCACTTCCAGTCCAGGATATTCTTAACGTCTTATTTTTTTCAAAGAATATGTTTTTAAATGTCAGTATTTAAGAAATAAAATAAAGTTATAAATTCCCTGTATTTTCTTTTAGAATAAGCATAGTTTCTCACATATTTCTTACAAACCATTCTTCGCCAAAACAGTGACCTTGAGGGTATGAGTCTCATCTATTCATGGAAATGTTTTCTTTTCAGCTGAAAACATGGGTTCTGTGGTTTCATCCTGTATTGCAACCTTCCAGCCGAAGACCATATAAGTCAAAACAGAAGGAACAGAAAGCCTCATTTATCTGAGGCAGCATCTTCTTGCAGGTGAGAAACTAAGGTGACATCTCCACTCCATTACAATGGTGTGACTTGCTACAAGCCTGACATAGCAAAATATAAACAAATCAATGCACAACTACTTTTGTTTGTGGAGACAAGCAAAAACTGTCAAAAATGTAGCATACTCAGCTGGCATTATTTGTAGACTGGCTGGCAGCCTCTGGAGAGAGAACAAGGAATACTAAAATACATTCAAAGGTCCTATTTCCAAGGCACTTTAGGGATGTGCTAGCCAGGCAATACGGGAAATGGGCCTTCCATATGTGTGTGACACCCCTTCCAGATTTAGAAGGTGAAGTAAAGGAACTAGTAGAGTTTCATCTAAAGTGATTATTGTTCTAGATGTATTGGCACGTTTTTTTCTATGAAAATTAAAATGTATGGACTCATTCCCAAAGCTCAAAAAATGAAGACTTACACCATTTTAGATTGTTCTGCTGTGCTAAGCTAGATGTTTCTGCTCTGTTGGGCATGTGTAACAGCAGACAATAAATAGACAGCATCTTCTGCAGGGATTAAAGGAAAAGCTATACCACAGTAAAACTAAGGTATATTACCTTTTCTAATTCTATACCACAATTTCAATTTTCTGCCATTGTTAGTTCCATGTGCTGTAGACATCAAAGGCTCTGAACTTTGTCAGTCTTGAGTTATCATAAAAGCTACAGTCTTGCAATTCATCTTTAATGAGTTGTTTACATGGAAATCAAACAGCCGTGGAATTTCTTGAAAATGGCCAAGGATCATTCCTAGCTCTCTGTCTCTTAAAAACAACTTCTGTGGCCATACAGCAACTATCATTGAGTGAGATTCATAGCTGTAATAAAGTGGTTTACTGTTTAACTCTGAACAGTTTTCTTGTCTTCTTGCCCCGGCCTATATTTTCTAAAATATATACCATCTCTTATTGCTGCAACCTGAAATTTACCAACAGTATCAGTAATAAATCACATGCAACTACTCTTACTTTTATTCCTCTCTGAGGAATAGAGTGGGAGCCTTTACACACAGTTGTCTGAACTTGGATCATTTTCAGATAAAAGCATTATTTATGCTCTAAAGTGTCCCAGGAGCTGCCTAGACAGAGTTCTACACAGTTAGGATCTACCTATTTTTACATGTGGGGCAACCAAGCAAGATTCATAATGGAAAATTTAATTCCAGATCTGCATTTAGCTGAGTCTGGACCATTCATATGCACACACAAAGTCCATACAAACTGCATGAGAGGTCATTGGACCTTCAGCATGATCACTTCATCAAAATGCTGACATTTTCACTGGTTTTGCTATATCGGTTTACTCCTGTGTTCCAGTCTGTTCATTTTTCAAACATCCCTTCTTGGTCTCACTATCTTTTTTTCCAAAATTATGAGTTGTTGGTTTGTGTTTTAGTCACCAAGAGTTTTAGTTCAGTTGTAAGATATACTGTTCCATGTAACGCACTTTGACACTGGATACAATCCAGGATGAAGTACATTAAACCTGGTCTATCACATCAAAGGATTCTCAGTAAATTTACTCCTTTAACCTTATTACTTTCAGCATTTTTAATTATACTTTGTGAGTTAGGATCTTTGTGCATTCAGTTTGTAAAGAGATGCTCTATTTGGTGCAAGAGTTAATCCTCCCGTTTTAACTGTACTCACACTCTGCTATCAAAGCTCTCAGTAGCAGGGGCTTCTGGTGTGTATTAATCCAGTCTCTGGGATGAAAGACACTTCAGAAATGCAAACCCTTACCTACTTACTTAATAAGAAGCCAGAAAGACTAGCAGGACTTGCATAACATTTAAATTTTACAATAATACCATTTTATCCCCCTTTGTTCTGAACTAACATGTGACTAAAAAATCATCTTTAACTTGCCAATCTATGTGTAAAAAGACCAAAATATGTTAAATAAAATGTCTGGTCTAGTTTTTTTCTAGCCTTTTAAAACAGAGAAATACTAGAAAATCTAATATTTTAATTTAGACTCTTTGTGTGCTCAAAGGAGCAAGTAAAGATAGGTAACTGCAACAAGGTGTAATGTTATTCGATTAATGTCATACTATGTGGTAATATAGTTATAATTATCTAAAAATGCCTATCAGACAATAATAGGTGTTCAGTGTTTTTTAACTGAAAGTTTGTTTAGAATACCTATAGGCTTTATATGAAGCTGAATAAACCTGTAGCCCATATCCTCAACAGATTGGCATTTTACTGGAATTTTAATGCAAGGTTTCTGTGGCAATAAAAAAGGGCTAATTTTTAATTGTAGCTTCCAAGCAGCTGGGTAACAGCAGCAGTGTCATATATCAGATAAGTGGGATATTTGCTGGGACAGAAAGGTGGCTTTTGAAGCTTGGCTTCATGTGGGTGTGTAAGTGTGATCTTGTCCTGTATTCCTGTTATGGGTTTTTTTATGGCTCATTTGCAAAAATGCCAAAGCTTAAGTGAGAGATACAAAGTGGTACAGGTTGTTGGTTCACCAGCAAAACACAGTTATCATGCAGGAAGAGAGACTGGTCAGTGTCCATGGGATAGGCATTTTAATGAAAGGGAGCAGTGGGGGTAACCCTTCTAGAGACAGAGTTCCTATATTAAAATGAAAGAAATTCTAGGATTATGGACAGATGCATATCAAGTAGACACTTGATTTATAAAAAAATAATTGAAAAAAATTGACCTAACATTTACCAAGCAACCAGATACAGTATTTGATTTGAAATGTGGTACAGCTAAATAAAGTTATTTCACTCTAAACAATGCAGAGAATAAAGGCAGAAGCTGGACAGACCCTCTTTCCTAGTGAGGTAACAACAGACAGGAACAACTTTCTGAGTTACTCTGTTTACTTTTAGAGGTAGGAACTGACAGGACCCACAGCTACAAAGCAAAAAAGGATGGATCTGTTTCATGAATTAGAATCTACCTCTGAAACATTTTCTACTTTTCTAAAGAAAAGGTTGCCAAAACACATGTTTAATTACTTTCAGAGATATTTTTGTTTCTCTTGTCTACAGCTGTCCCTTATGGAAGCATTTAAAAAAATCAAATGAAATCTCCTAAAAAACATTCTGCTCAGAAGCAGTTCTTGTATACCACATACTCACCATTCCTTGACAGTTTCATTCCTTTGAATATTGGAATGAAAATAACCGCTTCATAATAGAGGTTTTTGTTTCTGCTACTTATTTTTTGCTTGTACAATAAGTCCTTGGATTTAGAAACATAGTTAGGCTTAAGATATCCCTAAAAATACCTAATAAAGCAATAACATTATAAAAATATAAACCACTGGCAATTGCATGTTTTCCATTCCCCAAAACAGGCAGAATGGGATAGAGTGAACTAGAGGAAGGGTTGTGTCCTTCTCTTTGTGTGTATAAATGTAGCAAAATAACATATCATTAAGGAAGACAGAATACAAAAATTTGAAACTTCTAACATTTTCCAACAGGAGCTTGAAGAATCAGTGTCAAGGAAAGGATTCAGGGTAACTTTTTTGAGCAGTATTTTGTGGCATCCTTCAAGAATCATGGCAGAGGACATACTAGGGACAACATAGCTAAAAGCATTACCAAAGTCATGCTGCTCTTCAGCTGCTGTAAGACTTTTAGCAAAGCCATCTGTATTTCAACATATATGCAGAGCCATTGGTACTTCAGGAGCATGTAGAGGAAATGAAGTACTAATATTTGCACCATCTTGCTTGGAGTCTTTAGGTGAAGTACTTTCTGCATTCTGACTATAAGTGAAAAATGAGTACATATTTATAGTATTAGCAGTTCTCCTTCTAAATATTTGTTTACAGAAGAGGGAGAATGGAAAAGAGATAAGGATAGCTTTCAAATATTATTTTTAACCACAGAACACTCCATTTCTATTATTCACATTAACAGAATCAAATGCAACCTCCACATGAACCAAGCTCACTCTACGCAAGCTCTTGAAAAATGAATATATGCATAGAAAATAATGGACTACTCTTTGAAAAAGGATATAACAAAGAATTTGGTGGAGTTTCAGAGGTATAAAAAGACAATTATGTAGATGTATAGACTACCCATGTTCACTGTTTTCTACAGCAATTCCTAAAGATTTCAACTGCTTAAGTAAGCCTTAAAGGGTATGTAAATACCAGGTTTATAGAACCAAACATGGCATTCCATAACAAGCTTCTTTTTTCTTCATTTCTACAGACATCACAGCAGGCCAGAGTTCTCTGTATCTCTAGTCATATCACCTACTTTTAGATGGAATTCTGTGCAGTCTTTAAATAGGACCAGGATTGACATAGGACCAATATGGAGAATACAGAGAGCCTTTGGTTGTCCTCTTCAGTGCATAGATGTACACCAGAAATCATAGTCAGCAAGAGATAAGGCTGGTACGGTTCTGCAGGAAGCCAAAAGGAAAGTCACAATCCTATTGCTGGTGTGTCCCAGGGAAAAGCTGAAGATTAGTAATAGCTCTATCTTCCTACATCAAAACTACAATGCATTAGTTACCCATTTTAAAATTCATATTATTTAGTTATACAGCATTTCTAACTTCTCGGGTGGGCATTCTAGAGATTGCAAATCAATTTGTGTCAGTCTCTTATGCTTCTTTAAAAACTGTCTCCTAAAAGTACTAACAATTTGGTATTTTATCCAGAATTTTAGTTTAAAAAAGAATATTGTGTCCAACCACCAAAAAACATGTTTTCTGTGCAAGGAAACAGCCCAAAGGGCTGCATGTTGATCTCTAAAGTGTCTGCAGTGTAACATAAAAATGAGGTTTCAATCTTTTTTTTTCTAATAGATACAGACAGTAACATTTTACAAGACAGAAGTTACTTCTGTCACTACCTTATACTCTTAGTTGCATGTGAGATTCAACTATGGAACCTTGGCTCACATTCAGCAGTAGCCATCTTTGTCCTTGGAGAATATTTAGAGTCACAGAGGTGGATTACTGAGAAAAAAAAAAACTTTGCCACTGAAATGGGACATCAGTAATAGAAATGAACCAGAACACTGCACATAAGTTTGTAATTAGGGGCCTGATTCTGCAATAGTCTGAGTATTTCCTGAATGGTTTGGTGCTGAGTACCTTGAACTCATCAAGTGATGTCATGGGTTTAGTTTGTTCAATAACACAGCACTGCAGTGAGAGGAATGTACAGAAGGTTATTTAATAGGAGATGTGTTTCAATTGCTATTCAAAGGCAAAAAATCAAGTCTCAGAAAACTGGAACTTTTTGGTTGAAACTGCACACATCCCGTGCCAACCAAGTCATTAGAGCACCTCACCTGAAGTAGAGAGAAAGCCACTTCATGAATTAAATGGCTGGACAGATGCCCAGCTAAGCATATAGACTCCCTTTCACAGTCAAAGCACCCTCACAGAATTAAAATTTGATGTTATCCAAGCCACAGAGCCACTTTTCTTGGTACTGATTACAAGGATAATGTGCAGCTGTGTTGGTTGGGCTTGAAAACTGTTCAGATTGGCTCTGAGTTTGTTTTGCTTCAACTGTCTTACATGAAAAAGAAATTTCCCTCATAAATCCATATCTGCAAGCATGCTTCCTTATCACGCATTCCGTGTTTACCCATGAGGAAGAAAACACTGTTCTATTTCCTAGAAAGTCCAGATCAACAAGTCCATATAAACATTGGAACAAGTTGGTATGATCATCTCATCGTATATGAAGGAGGAAAGAAACAATGAAATCATAGTGAATTAATTATATCTGATGAGGCATAAATTCGTCTGCCCAGAAGTTAAACTTTTTTCCTCATTGATTTAAATAGAAATAGTGGGAAAAAGGTATTTTTCACTTTTAAACTAGTCTGTGAACTCTATTAAGAAATTTCCAAACTTTCCGCCATCTCCTTGTATCAGAAAGGATTTTTGGATTCAGTGCATCATTGCTAAAAAGTACTGAAATAGAAATTAGCAAATGCTGCTTTGTTTGGGGAAGGACCATTTAGAGTTTTAACAACAAAAAAATGATACTATTCAGTTTTGAAGTCTAACAGTGCTAGAATATCAGGCTTATTTTATAGCATTTAATTATCATAGGAAATAAACTCACAATGTAAGAATCATATTCCCACTGTGACAAATATAGAGTAGTAAAGTTTTTTTTCTATTCCTAAATCTTCTAGTCAATTTACAACCTGAAATCCAGAGACCTGGATTGTAAGCTTACACCTCTGATACTTCAAAGAGTGCTTTTCCACTTACCATCACTATAGCCTAAAGCACCAATGTAACCTAATTTTTCACTTTCCTTTGCTGAATTGGAAAGATCAGCAATGGCATACAGGTACCCAAACTCTTTTGAGTGCAGGTGAACCTTAAATGTATACAGAAGTTGTGATAGGATTACTTAATAAAAATTTCCATCTGCAAAAAGCAATTGTGGGGACATGCAGGTGAGTTCACATTCAAAAATGGTGTCAAATCTTCCAAAGGATCTCAAATTTTTATGTCTAGTCAGAATGAACAAGATTTATTGATTTTTTTCTCCAAAAATCTTTTCCTATTTCTTCCTCTTTTAACTGAAGGGTGTGAAAATCTACTACATATACACACTTTGTTATGTACATTTTTAGTTTCAGTCCTCTTGCTGGATTTAATTTCAAAGTTGATGTTAATTCAATTTCTTATGGAATAAGACCCAGATAAGATGGGATCAAAGACTTATTTTTTCAATTAAACGAGACTCCTGGTTCTGTGGCTATCTAGGTAAGTTAGAATTCAAAAATTTTACCCATTCCTTTTGCTGAACTGTAAATTTCCATTACTCTGTTTCATATTATCTATGAAGGCTTTTATAGCCGTACAAACTGAATAAGGAAAATAATTTTCTTGTCAACACTTTACCCAGAAATGACATTTGGTACTTTATTATTGCTCCATATGAAGAAATTCTGCAGAAACCCATAGAATCACAGAATAGTTTGAACTGGAAGAGACATTTAAAGGCCACCTAGTCCAACCCTTCTGCAGTGAGCAGGGATACCTTCAACTACACCAGGTTTCTCGAGTTCCTACATCAACTGTTTCCCCTCACATTAATGAAGGCAAATAGTTATTGAAAATGTCATTATCCAGGCATAAATGAACTTTATTTCAGGTACATGCAAATAACTTTGCAGATAATAAACAGGAAATTTATAGCTTTTTTTCAGTCACAGATGCTACATTCTAATAGAGAAACAAAAGTTGGTGAAGGTGTTAATGCCCAAATTTTTAAATAAATTTCAGTTAAATTGCTGCAATAGAAAACTGTCTTTCTGTGAACTGTTAGAGTAAAATACAGAGTAAAATATTTCCTTCTTAGTACATCCAAACTGCTTCTTACTCGAGTTTTTCTGACATTTTCCACTGTCTGAGATTTAAGATAGGAAAGGGTAAAAATTTTTCATAAGAATAGCTTTCATCAGGAGGATCAGAATTTGAACCCAAGTCCTCTCCCTGGATAAAGAATGTATAAGTAACCACATATTCAGGAACACTACGTGTGGTACTGATCAGGATACCTCAAAAGACTGTCTGACAAAGTAAGAATCGTGTAGACAAGAGTCCAAGCTAGAAAGCACTTTCTTGGGATACGATCAATAAGAAAATAATTTACAATGTTCTAATGGGCATTTTCTTTTCAAGAAATCAGCAAAAGCCTAAGGCATGATCAGCAGAAAATATTTTGCAGGATTTGAAGTGCTAGAAGTGATGACTTTGTTACAAGTCTTCTGCAAAAACAAGCAGAATTTGTGTAAATAATTTGCCAGCGTGCACAGAAGCGATGTGGGGAGAAGTCTATGCTCTTAGTACAGACTATGGTCTTAGTCTATGGTCTCAGCATTCATTGCCTGTTTCTTGAGAGAGACTTTAATTAATGCTTACTGCTTTTTTGCAAGCAATAATATCCTCTCCTACCTGCCCTGACTGGACAATTAAATGGTTTGTGACTGATTTTCAAGAGTTAGAACAAGTGACATCTGGCATTAGTTTCTTTCTAGTTCTGCAAATCAATTCAGTATATGCAGTCCATACTTGGCTCCCAAAGATGCAATACAAGTGATTTATCAGCTGCAAATTTGTCTAAAAGTGCCACATAGCATGTTGGACATTGCTTCTAGAAATGAAATTCAGATGTGTGATATTTAAAGGTTAAAAATCACTAGCTTGAATTCCTTCATGAACTGTTTCCCCTTCCATTAATGAAGGCAAATAGTTATTTAAAAATTCATTATCCAGCCATATAAGAACCTAATTTCAGGAAAAGCCAAGTTTTCCATGTGATTAGTTTGACACCACCACCCCCTTCCTCCTCACACACAAATCTAAAGGCAAACACAGCCTATTCAGAGACTGAACTTTATCTGACTCTTTTTTTTTTTTTCCTCCCAGTCATCATCCTCCAACTGCTTTGATGTTACAAGAGATTACATTGAGGTATGATTAGAAGGGATGCTGGAATTATGCCCACCTCTCCTCCCAGGATTTTTAAGAGAGATGTGAGTAAAACTTTCAGACTTTGGCTAAAGATGAAAGACTAAAAATATGAAGTGTGGAAACAAGAAGAACTCACCACACTCTCTGTAATCAAGTAGAGCTCTTACAATTTTCTTGTGTGCAATATCTCACATTAGAACCTCCTAAAAGGAAACAGAACAGTTTATAGAAAGCACATTAAGTATCAGGTGTCTAGAACTGTTTTGCAAATAATCCAGATAGTGAATGTTTTTGTTCAGTTCTTCAACTGAGGTTAAAAATTTAAAAAAAAAAAAATTAAAATAGGGTTTGTACATTAGAATCTTAGTGCATTTTTTGCTACCAAGTATCTAGTCATAAAACAGCACTTGAAATACAGTACCCTGCATGTGATGGTATGCATTATTCCTGAGGAGTAAATAACTCATATTCTTCCAATACACAGGAGCTGGAACAGAGCCCTGTAAGCTGCAGGTCCCACAACCCCATCAAAAGTCTTTGCAGAAAGCAGTTGCTGTCTTGATCTTCACCCACACCTCATCTCTCACATTTCACAAAGTTAATAGGAAAAAAACCTTTCTGAATGTCTTTATATTAGGAGATGATTTTGACTAAATATTGTAACCAGCAATAGAATTGCTGAACATACCATTAACTAGCAAATGATTAAGTGCAGCATTTAGGGAATTATTTTTTAATAGATAACAAAAGTGCTAAAATTAAACTTTCCTCAATTTATCAGAAAATTGTTTTATGCAATTACTACATGATAAAACTAATTCTCACTCAGACCTGGTGAGCAAGCAGCATTAATCCTGCATTTTGACCATCAGCCAATGTAAAACTTTGCTCAGATTTAACAAGTAATAATGCTGTGGGACCTGTGTTGGAAACAAAATCCAAAAAACAGTATCTAAATGTGATAATCTATTTTTAATTTGACACATTTTCTTCCAGATCACCAAAAATGGTAGGATGTCATAGAAAATACCTGTTCTTCATGTTTTATGAGTGCTATGGATAAGTACAGACCTGAAAAAATTACTGCATAGGGTGCAGAGCAGTCATGTAGAACTTTTTTCCATTATAGAGATTTTCCTGTTTGATGCCTCAGCACACATTTCAGACAAAATTCCTTAAGGATTTTCCCAAATAATTTCAAAGCAATCCAGAGAGAATAGGGCTTGAACAAAGCTGAAACAATTCAGCTTTCTGAATTTTCTGTGTAGCTCAACTGTTTATTTTCTGCATGATTTTGGTCAAGATCACTGGTATGCATCAGGTTACTCACCAGAATTTCAAAGGACCACGCAAAGTAGGGAAACCAAGTCTAATTAAAGAACAAATGTGTTGCTCTTATTACCAAGCCAGTAATGTCTTAACTGTGGCTCACCAGAATATCCAGCATTTCTCGCACCACAAGCAGTAAGAGAGGTTTTGAACAGGAGATTGGGCTTGATGGCCTCTTGAAATATTTTCCAACTCACTTAATATCATTAAAAATGTCATGTTCTAAATGTCAAGTTGTTTTGTGGTGCTGGTTATAGACCAGAAGTAATAAAAACAGTAATTTAAAAAATGCAATTAGGCTTTCCCATTTCTAAGATTTTTAGGTTTATATGTAGGCTTATATTGTAGGCTTATTTGTAGTAAGGCTTATAAATCTTCCATATTCAGGTAAGCAATCTTTTCTAAATTTATGACTATTCAAAGTGCTGATATTTAGTCTATGTTCCTTGAGGAAAAAAAACCCCAACCTATCAAATTCCTAATATATTAGTGGTGTTTATCAAACTCAAAATGTGTTCTCTGAGTAGTACACAACTCACAGCAAAATATTTTGTTTGTGCATTTGATTATCACAGTGAGAAATGCCAAAACAATAGTATTTTGAAGAACTAAGACTACTCCCTCACACTGATTGACAGGGTCATTTAAATATAAAATTTTTGTGATTTCATCTGTAAATTAAGTAATTGAAGATTTATTCCAGAAGCAAATAGGAAGCTATGAGAAATCAGGCAGTTATATAAACTGCCCTTTGTTCTTAAACAAATGGAAAGGAAACCAATATGTCAAGATTAAGAATGCATAATGAAAAATAAGTGTGCTGGAAAAGCAGCTGCTCCTGAAATAACTGATCATTTGTATGAACTTTTGGGTGGGCAGATACTGGAGTGCACATTGGTGTGATTGGTCCTGACTAAATCAGCTGCAGTGAAAACTAGACTTGCAGTAAAAAAGATACATATTAAATTATTTACTGTTTGCTAGCTGCTACCCTCAGCTCCTTTTACATTATGCCAGAGTTCCTGGAGCCAACTGTTCCTTCCCCCAAGGCTTCACTCTGCATATATGAAGGGAATGGGTATCCTGCTCTTGACTACAAGTGGAGAATGACTAAGTTCTGAACTTGATATACCTAAAGTATGAAAAAATCCTCAATTATCACAAACTGAATTCAAGTCATGGTTAACACTGTATTGTTATTCTCACTAAAACCCTTGACCTTACTCACCATAGCTACAGTCAAAAGCTCAAAATTTGCTTTTAAAAATAGCAGTGAAAATCCAGCCTGCCCTGAAACTAGGAAAGAGGCATAGATCCTCACCTATGAAATTTCCAGGAGGAGCCTGTAGCAAGAAACATCCATAGATCACCCAAAGGAGATGTCCCCTCCATTGCACTGCATGCGAGCAGACTGAACCTTCTCAACAGCTGTGCTACAAGACTTTTTCTTGGACAATTCATCTTCAGTATTTCTCAGAATGAAGTTTTCTGAGAAAGACAATGTCAATTGGAATCATGATATATTTTAGGAAGATTTTTTTAGAGGGGAGAAAAAAATACTCCTTCACACTTAATATGCATTTGGCTTATTATGACTCTTTCTCTTCTGCCAGAATGGAATCTGTATCACAGAAAATATTAAAACACCAGCCAAGTATATGCAAAGATTGTTGTTGAACTAAATTTCTGCAGGAACTCTGTCTCATAATTTTATTCGGAATTTTCATAGAAAAAAGTGGTGATATTTGTTTTCCTTCAAACTGTTTTTTCACCAGTGCTGGGCATCCAAATAAGAGTAAATTGCAATAAGTACATTTACATTACATAAGCACTCCTAATTTCAGTCTTGTCTGCTTCTGTGGTTTTTTTAAGCTATAAGAGAAAACATGCTTTGAATCAGGAATTCAGCAAACACCAAGTTTGAAGCTGGATGGCCCTGACTAACCCATCATAACTTTCTGCACAGCTTAACCAGGAAAGGCAGCAAGTGCCCAGGCAGAAATCTCTCACATACTGATCAGGAAATCCTGTTGGAAGTTGGTGTGAGTGTCTTCAAGAACAGTTGTGAATTAAATTCAGAATATGCTTCAACTGCCACGCTATATTCACAGAAGAAAGGATGAGCCTAACTTGTATTTTAAGGAAAAATGACATGAGCAACTAACTCCAGGAGGGAATTTAGTGCTGCAGATCCTGTGTAAGAGGATGCATCCCTGTAGAATGGAGGAAAGAGTCTGTGGAATGGGACTTGAGATTTCCCCTCACTTCAGATTAGATATTGGCTGAGATACCTTTTTAGCAATACAGTTTTATAAATCTTTCACTTCAAACCTACTGTGAAGTTTCGTAGTAATAAAAACTGGGTGGTTGTGTAGAGTAATCTAGGGGGAAAGTTCTTTAAAAAACTAAATTTCATGGTATCAAACTTTATTGAGTATAGCCTCTAATTTCTTTTCCTTTTTATTGCCAAATAAAAATGACAAGCACAAATTATCAAGATACTTTCAGCATAGAAATAAAGCTGTATGTATTATTACTTAAATCAGCCAGAGCAGTCTAAGACATACTTCACTTTCTAAGATCAGTCTTGAGTTTCTTTAAATAAAAGGAAGACACAAGATGAGCAAATTATATGTAACGAAAATGTTTAAATAACAGTTTTGTAAAAGTTATTTAATCCCGCAGGTGTACATTTTTTAATTAAAAGTTGTAAAATAAGATAGAAGTCCAACAATTAAAAAGATTTGACAGTGAAAATTCTGTGGCTGCTCCACCCTGTCCTAAATCTTAAAATGAACAGTAGCAGGAAGGCATGTGTGCTCTTAGAACAATTTCTTCTTGTTTACAATTGCAGTAGGCAAAAATGAGTCATTGTTCTGTACAAATAGAAAACTGTGTGCTCACAAAAAATGTTTTGGCACTATCTGCAAAGTTTCAGTAAATTAGAATGTCAGAATGATATATGCAATTTTTTTTAATATAAATTTGTAAGTCATGGTGCCAACAAGAATTAGAAGATATACAATTTCTTGGAATTCTTTTTCATACTGATAACCTAGAGGACAATATCTATTTTTATTTGCAGCTGCTGAAAGGGCAGGGATTATAAAACTTAAACTGAGATTATTGCAATATTTGTCCCTCAGGAATTTTTGAAATAGAGCATTTTCTAGGGTTAAAAAATTATACGCAGCATTTTAGAAAATGTTAAAAATTGTTATCACCATTAATTTCTCCTCATATACATAATAAATATAGTTTTTTTGAAAGGTTCCTGTATTAAAACATAAACTGTAAAGAGATAATTTTTAAAACTTTCCTGTACTAACCATGAGCATGACAGTTTTAGGGATAATTCAAAGACAGTAAAATAAGACAAGCACTTTGTATTTGAAAATAACTCAGGAATTAATTTTTAAGTGTAATTCTGCTTGTTACATTTTGGCATAATGTCTATATAAATACTACATCTTTTCTCACTTAAAAAAAAAATTGCTTTTTTCTTGCCTTTAAAAACTACCATACATTTCAGTAAGTTATCAAATTAGTTGGAGAATAATGCATACAATACATCAACACAAATGTCAATATATATTACAAAAGATCCATGAAGGATTTAATCTATTCTTCAGCCTCAGTGTTGAAACATAAAGCTGACTTCACTTTTAAAAAATGAGGTCAAGGGGTTTTAGGCTAAGAATGAACCATGATACTTGTCTAAAAATTCAGTGAAGTAGATAAAGAGGCTAAAATCTTTGTTTCAGGAATGGAAAATCAAACAGAAAGGAGACATATTCCTTCCTGCAAATATTCTCCATGAACTAACTACTAGAAAAGTAAATCCCATGTACTTTAGCAAATATTCCAAGAAAGAGTATTTGTGTTTTGTGGTAGAGGAGAGCACCAACATAGAAGAGGGCTTTTGACTTTCTTTGAAGGTCACAAAAGGGGCAGAGCAACAAGAAAACTTTTAAAGAAAAATATCCTGTCACATCAAAATCAAATATCAAAACACACTAGAAAGTACAGAGAGAAAAGTATTCACAGAAAGTTTGCCAGTCAATTCTCTATTGACCCAAAATTTTCCATATAAATGAAGAATTACCTAAACAACCATATCAGGTCTATTGTGAAAGCCATTTGGTATGAAGGAAAATACTAACCCAGATCTGTTTGCAACCCTCTGATGATGTTAAAGGTGCTCTTGTCTTGCTGTGTTTTCCATAATAAGAAAATACACAAAGGAAAACAGTCCTTACCTCTGTGAAAATCAAAATTCAATGTACCCAGGAGTTGTGAAGTTGCACCTTTATTTCTCACTGTATCTGAACCTACATGCAGGTACAAATTAGGGAAATGAAAATTTTAGTGGAAAGAATGAATGAACAGTTATCAGAGCCTCCTATTTTCACTAAGATTAATTTAATGAGTAGAAATACTAATAATCCCATAAAACTTGTGTAGAATATGAAATTTAAGAAATTGAATGGGGTCAGAAGTGTTGGCTCTTTTCTTGTGTTTCCTGTCTTTTCTCCATGGATTTGGCAGTAAAGTTCATTAAGTTCACAATAGAAATTTCTGCTACTTCACAACACATCTCATTATGAAAGGGATTTATAAAACCCATGCTGATTGTAGCAATGGGGGCTGTCTTACAGAAAAAGCAGTAGCTGGGCAGGTAAGATTCCTAGAATTTCAGGCAGACTGTAAATGAGAGCAGAATGGGAAAAGACTCGTTAACTTCTCCATAGAAAGTCCCCTTCAGTCACTTTGACCTATCACTGCTTGAAAAATCACATCAAAGATTATTTCAGAGCTCTTTCTATAATTTTAGCCTCCAAAGAGGTGTTCAGACTTTCTGAGGCAAGTCACTAGAGTTTATTTGAACTACAAAGCATCAATGAAAGCTGCTGGTTCAAGAAAACAAATTATAATCAACTTTCATTGCTATTAAAACACATCTGTTTTGGCTACATGGGATCCAAATGAAATCCCATGTGAAGTAATGTGTAAAACCAGCCAAGTTTAACAAGTGTTTATGACTTTCTGAAGTAAATGTCATAAAAAAGACTTTATCATTGCTTTGATTTCTGTTCCACACAGAAAAATTCCTTAGGATTTTGGAGATTAAATATGAGAAAATATACAGAATTTTAAACAAAATTTTAAAATTAGGTGTGCACCTCATTTTATCATAGATAAGCATTCTACTTTGAAGAAACATCTTATCGATTTATAAGGAGAATGGTGTGGATAAAATGCAATCACTTGACCAACCATCCCAATAACCCACCTTGAAAGAGCTGTTAATTTCAAATACACGTTAGAATAAGTCAGCACAAAAGGAACAACAGAGAAGCAGACAGAAGAGAGACAGGAAAAAGCTGGAAATCCTTAAATTCAGTATTAAATTCTTCTCTCAGAAAGTTGATTGTTGATTTTACAACATCAAAAATATAAAAACCTTACATAAAAAAATTAATCTCTCTATTCTGCAAACCATACTGTTTCTTGAGAACGTGTATATTTACTGGGAATTGGGGGAAAAAAGGCACAGACTTTTTAAGCAGGAAGGCTGTAGAAATACTACTTCCCTGACCACTGTCTGAAAAGTTCCATTCTGATCCTTAAATTTTTCCAGAGCTTATGAGGTTAGATCTCCTACAAACAGTTTTATATTCAGTTTTCTATAGAGCTATTTGGAGAAAAGATGAGTTTACCTGCCCATTATAAATTAATGTAATATCCTTTCTATTTTCTTAAGTCCCAGCTGATTTTCCACCATAGTGTTACACAGACGTCTACTGACTTTTAAAGAGATAGCTGTTATATAGGTTGGACAGGATTTCTTATAACATACAATTTGTAGGGAAATATCAAACTGATCAAAAGCATTTCAGGAGTCCCAAGGATTTTCCAGACTAAAAATAAAAAAAAAACAAAAAGGAAAAAAGCAATGGACTTAAGAGGCTGTTGCCTTGTGGTGTTTTACACTGCAAGTCCAGAGGAGGGCCACAAAATGGTCAGAGGGCTCAGACCATATGTTTATGTGGAGACAGACTGAGAGAATCAGGGTTGTTCAGCCCAAAGAAAGCTCTGGGGACACCTTACTGCAGCCTTCAGGTATGTCAAGGACACCTACAGGAAAGATGAGGACAGACATTTTAGCTGGGCCTGTTGAGACAGGATAAGGGGTAACAATTTTAAACTAAGAGAGGGTAGATTTAGACTAGATATAAGGAAGACATTTTTTACAACACACTGGAACAGACTGCCTGAGGAAGTGGTAGATGACCCATCCCTGGAACCATTCCAGGTCAGGCTGGATGGGGTTCTGAGCAAGATTACCCATTGAAGATTAGACATTGCAGGAGTGTAGGACTAGATGGCCTTTAAAGGTCCCTTCCAACCCAAAGTACTCTATGGTTCTGTATGTTTCTGTTGCTATTGCACACACCACTGAGCATAGAAATTCATGGATTTATGCTGGCATTCTAAATATGTTCTTCATAGACACCCAGATACATGAAAATGGAGAAAATGTAAATAGTCATATAGCTATATATATATATGTATGTATTTTTTAAAGTCACGAGTGCAGAAATACTAGTGTAAGGAAAAAAATGGAGAAGATTGGGTTAGTAAAGATGGAATTAGTATATCCAAGATTTGATCAGTAAAGGTACAAATTGTGTTAGCAAATGTGATTGCATTGATAAAGGAATTGTATAAAATAACAAAGTATTATATTCACTCATTTGTTTGATTTATTTTTATTAATTGTACTGGCAGGTATACTTCGTTCTGATACACATGTAGGACACAACACAAGCCAAAAATGTCTCTGCTCTACCATATCACTCCATAATAATACTTCATAGTGGGATCTTATTTCTCTGTTCTGCTACATTTTCACCCTAGTTGAAAAAAATTTATATTGTTAAGACTTCTGCACCTATTGGAAGCCTTTAAATTTATCAATGAGTTTAAATGTTACTTGGAGAAATACAGGAAAAGGGACTTGTCCCTCACTGTGATGCGGCACCAGGGCTTTGAGTTCTCTTTTTTAAGCTAAGAAATTATCCATAAAAATAACATTACAAAAGTATTATTTGTGTGTAGAATTAAGCACTTAACAATTAGGAACTGTTTGAATTTTCATCCTTCTTGACTGCATTATGATACAGCCTTCAACTAGTACTACTGCTACTACTACTACTAGTCTTTTCTTCAAGCTCCTTCTCATCCCATATCACACTTATGAACTGTGCAATGCTGACAAATGAATTAAAATGAGCATTTCACAGACTGCCAGTAGAGAATGTTCTAGCTAACAAGCTTATTGCCTTATTGGAAGTCATGTCTAAACATATGAAATGTTTAATGCCAAGTTCAGTGAAGAAATCATACCACAACCCACAGTAGTTCATGGAATTCGTCTTGGCTTCCTTTTGCTGGCAAAACTGGCAGCCAGGGTCTGAAGAGTGATTGACTTACACCAGTAACTGTTATTTTTAATTTATTTTTTAAGATCACATGCAGTCCTTCAAATCTGTGTCTCTCCTTTGCTAAACAAGATAATAATCACTCCTTTTGCAGATTTGTGGTGAAAATTAGTAATATCTGTACACTTCTGAGGTAATATTGAAAGATGGAACAAAGAGGTGGATAAGGGGATTAATCACTTTCTCTGAAAAGCAGAATTTGAATACTGCAAAATGTATGTAGTGCTAGACTGTTTTATTGTCAGTTATTGAGAATTGTTGTTTTTATCAAGGGTTTTTATCAAGGCCTTTAACAAATTGGGCACTGTTTTAAACTATGCTTCACAAGAAGTTTTCTGTAAAAATTCTCTTAATAACCACCTTTGCAATTTACTAAAATGTAAATTACTATAGTAAATAAACCTTTAGTCATCATTCATTTACATACCTATTCATTTAACAGAATTTAGGATTCACTTGATTTCTGATATTGCTAAAGTGGAGATTGAAACTTGTTTCAGAGACTGAGATCATGGAATGGTGGTTCTGTGAGCAGCTGCAAACTTAACTTTGGCACAATGGCTTTGGCACAGTGGCACCTATTAATAGCTTATACCCTTTACACCTTATTTCTATATTACCAAGATTGACCTAGAAATTCTCAATACGGATAAAAAATGGCGCTTTATGCCCAAATCTTCTAACATTTAAATCACCTTATAGATCCTCAAGAACTGTACTTGAAGCAACAGGAACAAAAGTCTGCTCATATGATAAAGAGGTAAGAGATCCAAAAATTATGAATTAAGATTTTAAAATTGCTTTACATGACATAGAATTTATAAATTCATTTAACAAGAGGAATGAGAGATGTTTGTATATAGACTTTTGCACCAGCTGATGACCAGATTTCAAAAACATAATATGAAAGATGCCAAGCATGAAATCCTAACCTACTATTAAATAATTGCACCGAAAGACCTGTCATTTATTTCACAGTGAACAGTTATTTATTCCAGCTCCCAGCAGGACTCTGATTAACAAAATTTCTAATTTGCTCTGAATTTATTCCACAAGTACCTAAAAAGGAGGAAGCATTGGGAAGAATTTTGCATCACTGTAGGTTTTCTTCTCTAAAGAAACTGGAACATTTTCCTTGTAAGCAGCAGCAGCTAGTTTTGCATTCCAACAAAGAGCAGGAGAGAAACTCTACCTCCTTAAAATATGCTGTCTTGCATGTAAGTTAATTTATGATTTATTACAGTGAAACTATTTACGACCTTAATAAGAATATTTACAAGCTTTGACTCAGAGCTTTGCCTCCTCTGTTAGACACTAGCATGTCCTCCCTTCCTGCTGGAGCTGTGGTGATTCCATACAGGAATGAATATAAAACTCAGATGGTGACAGGGAGCCAAGGTATGTAACACAGAGTTCTGGATGTGAAACACCAGCAAGTGGCTACCTAAAAGACATAGTGACACCTGCTTTTTGACATTCTCAGACTGCTCTGAGCAATTTGCTATGATGTAATTTTTAAAAATATATCCTTTCGCCTTTAACTTACAGTTCTAAGTTTTCTGTTTCATTCTCTGTAGTGTCTTCTCAACACCAAAAAAGGCAGTGTAGGCATTTCTTTTTATTACTATTAATGATTAGTAATTCAGTGAAAATTGTTATGTACATTCACCCTGATCTTTTAGAATGCTGCATACTCCTATTGTTTGAGGACTTCCAGGCATTTTTATCCTGGTTTTCTAATTTCAAGGTACACCAAGAATTGAATATATTAATTGTCATGCTTTTAGCTACCTACTTTTAAAAAGTCGGCTTGTGTAATAGCAGAGCAAGGTCTTCAGGCAGCTCTTACATATGAAAATAATTTTGTCTTGTTAAAGCAAAACAAAAAATCTCACTGCTTTATAATCATCAAATATTTGGTGGATTAGCATCAAAGATTAAGTGGAATAGTTTTCTACAGTTTTTTCAGTAGAGGAGATGGCCCATGCAGACTGACACATCCTCCCGTAACAGTGAGAACAGTGACTACTCTGACTTTCTAAAGTCTGGGAAGTGTCTCAAAAGCTTATCTCCATTCTAACACAGTCTCAGTAACTAAGACATGCACTGCAACTGATGCTGCCACAAAATGGGAGAAGGAACCTGTGAAAGACTTTGCCAGGTTGGATGAATTTGTATAGATCATACTCTTTTTACATGTCTTACTTCTTTCTGCATGTCTTTCCCTATGTCTCTGTCTTTCTATATATTGTATACCACTATGCTTCGGGTCCTCAAAACAACAATTCCCTAGCACACTAAAAGCAACATTTGAATTTTCTCCTTAAAGACAGATTATGTCCAACATTCAGCTTTATAACTTAGGTAACAAGAGCAACCATGCAAACACAGAATAGTCCAAGTTGAATGGTGGCTGTTAAGATGACCTGCTCTAAACTCCTGAAGGCAAGGATCTACATTAGGTTACCCAGGGCTCTCTCAAGCCAAGCTCTTAATAACTCCTGTGAGGAGCATTCCACCATTTCTCTGAGCAACCTATTCCAGAGTTTTGTTGTTCTCATGGTAAAGAAAATATTTCCTGTGTCCACAGGGATTCCTTTCTGAAGAACTTGTGTCTATTGCCTCTTGTCCTGTCCCCATGCATGCCTAAGAAGAAAACACCTCCCTCTCCACCACAGCTGCGCTTTCAAGTACTGGAAGAGTGAAAGTGCATCACTTGGGCTTCTTCTCTCAGGCTGAAAAAACTCCAATCCTCTGATTTTCCTCTCAGGGATTTTTTCACATGCTGTTCCACTATCCTACTGTCTTACTTGGGAATCTAAAATACCTAAAGTAATAAATTGAACAACATTGCTTCTGAATGTGAGTATTTAGTAAATAAAGAAGAACAAATTCAAAGCCTTCAAAAGCCATGTTCTTTTAACATACTCAACTCCCTAAAGCAACTTAAAATTATTCATTTACTAGGTCACCTTCCTTAAAGAAAACAAAAAATCAAATCTTCACAGTAAACAGCTTTAAATCTTGTCAAGTCACAAATGGGTCAGACATGAGCTGTGTGTTAATACACATGTGCAGAGGAGAGAAGGGAAGAATGAAAGGCTGCATTCAAAGGGAACTGGCTTCTGAATTATTGTTAAAGATTTACGGTCCATGAAGACACCATGTGGACTGATGCAGAATAACAGGCTTAGAAGTACAATCAACACTAGAGTTAGAGTGGGCTTTTTTTTTGCGGTCACTTGGATGCAGAAATAAACTGTCTATATTTTGAAGGAAGTGAGAAACAACCAAATAGAGAAGAGTGAGTTATGAGATCGTTGGGGTATTGTACTGCAGTATTGCAGTTAAAATAATATATCCTTGCCTTGTCCTTTCTTTGCATGCCTGGATACACATTTGTAGTCTAATAGCTGCATGCTATTTTGGTCACTGTTGGATGCAGACTTTCTCAACCACAGCATATTAGGTTGTATTTAATATTTTAATTACACTTCAGTTTTATAACAGCTTATGTAATCGATTTGAATCTGATTTTGAGAATAGCTGTTTTACTTAAGTTATGAAAAGTTGTCTCCTACAGAGCATGAAGTAGATAACCCTGAAGGGAAACATGCCCCACCTTTTTAATAAAGATTGACAGAAATTAGCTGCTTTGAATCTTTATGTTTTTAAATGAACCAGCAAAAACCAGAAATAGTTATAGAAGTCACCATAAAGCTTTTCTTCAGCCAATAGCCACAGCATTATGTTTGTTCAAAATAGTGAAAACTTTGCAAAACATGATTACATATAAGAATTGAGCTTTCATCTGAGATCTCATAATGTGGCAATTCATTAATTCCTTTGCCATTAAATACACTTTAAAACACAATATTAAAATGTGAATGAGGAGCAGGCAACTCTTCATGTTAAGTGCAGAAAGTTGCAAAGAATGTCACAGCAACAGATCAAAATAAATGGATGCTCCAAAATGCAGAAAATGTCTGGAGGTTCCCACACAGCCCCTAAGAAGCTTAGCAGCTCTCCCACTCCTATTTGCAGGGAAAATCAGGATGACAGATACATATGATCAGGTACAGAATAAAAAACATATAATAAAATTAAAAAATAAATAAAAGACACTGGAAGAAGAATAATTTTTTTTACAGATCTTCCAAATCTGTATCTCACAGAAATAAAGCATATAGAGAACAGAATATGTAGGCTATAATGTGAAAGTACTGAATCAGATTTCTGAAATATAATTTCTCTAACTTAAAAAAAATGTCAGCCTAGAAGTTATATACACAAATTTTTTTAAACCCAAAATGGAAAAACTGTAGCCAAAAAGGAAAATACTGAAAAATGTAGGTGCAGAAGAATAAACAGGCACAGAAATGATAAAAATAGAAACAGATTTTAAATTGTAAAAATAGAACCTATTACCTCCTTACCGTTTAGCAAAGTGGCAAAATGTTCATGTCATAACCTAAACTCGCAGGAAAAAGTACAGATTTAAAAACTCATCAAATCCAAACTCCCTGAAGAATTACCTGTGTTTCTGGGGGTGTTTTTTGTCTTGACAGACTTCAACAAAGATAACAAGAAGATGATATAACCAATGTTCTAACCAACATGAAAGAGCTGTGAAGACAGGGCAACTTTAAGCTAAGAAGATCACGCAAGATTAAGGTGCAGGATAGACACAGATGATTCTGCATGTTAAGGTACTGCAGCTTATATTTAGTGAAAAGAGGAAAATATCCTAGAACTTGCTTGCTTAAGGCATTACTCCTGATTAACATCAAGAAGAAGGTCTAAAATGAAGAAACCAGGCCAGTGCTTTGTTGCTCTAATAATGGTAGACTATCTCATTGTGCATAATGGCTATTAAACAAATGGACTATGCTCATTTTGCATAATGACTATTATGATTATTACTAAAAGACTGCAGGGATTCAATACTGATCACTGTGAACAAGTATGGCTGGTCCTTAAATTGATTTATTTCACGTACATCATTTCTTCACAGCTGTAATAATTTCATGCAAGCAACAGCAAGCTCCATGATATTGCAGTCATCATGAATTCTCTTAAAGAGTCAAGGAATGTAGTGTCCAGGCTATTTTCAGTAAATATACAGTATTTTTATCAGCAGTGACAAATGTTAAAGGAAAGAGGAAAATAAGGGGTCTGGCATCAGTATTAAGATGGTGCCAATTTTGTCACATTACTGCCAATTAAAATATTTTCCCATAAATTTTAAGTACTTGCAACATTTTTACATTCTCTTTTAACTGTTCTTTTTTGTGTTATATCACATCATATTATGCTATTTGTCTCAGTAACATCCTGCAGAGGTGAACTCAACTGTGCAGTTAATCTGAACTGATACAGACATTTATTTACTTGGTCCACATGCACAAAAACTGTGCATGTCCTGAAACATCCCTGTTTTTCCAACAGTGTTAGACTGATCAAAAAAACAAAAACCAAAAAACCTGTAATTTTGACACAGCAGCTGAATTTTAAATGCTGCTTTATAGTGTCTTTAATCATCTAATTGTCTTGAGGAATACAAGAAATGTGTGCTGGGCATTGTGTCTTTCTCAATGCTCCTTGTCAATTAATAAGCTTTGCCATGAGATAGCTCTGCTCTCATTGACTCCACTGGGGGGAATCCAAACTTATGTGTCTCCTCCACAAATTGTACCATACAAGTCTTTTCAATGTCTCTTCTCCAGAAATGAATTTTCTCCCACATCCTATATCTTCCCATGTTTGTTCTCCCTTCTTGTACCTCCAATTGTGCCCTTTTTGGCGTGGGATGGGAAAGTGAGTTTAGGAGTCTGATTATTCTAAATTTAAAAAAAATGTATTATGAACCAGTTTTATTTTCAATAGCCTAGTCTTGGTTATTCAATCTCCAGTAAAGATATTCTCCCAAGGAATCATACTGAAAAAATAGTTCTGGGCATTCTGTTGCTTCCAGCTGACCTTTGTGTGCCTTATAAGAAGTATTCATATTTTCCTAGGCAGAACTTCTTTCAAAGACATGCTGGAAACGGTGATGCCATAAATCTGTGTCAAGCCCAGATGTGCAGGTCTCTGGTGCCTAAAAGTCATCCCAGCATATTTTGATAAATGCTCCCATGGTTTGTTTAGGCAGTTTAAAGTAATGTGTGTATATTAAAAAAAGTCACTCCATGTACACCTGGTAAATATGTGATGTATTAACTGTACATAAAAGGCACAGAGGTGAGGGCCAGAGGCTGTGGCTCAAACATTGGTTGAGAATTTTGCTCACAGGTCATAAAAAGAGTAACAAGGAGAGTCTCCCTCTGTTTGAGCTTGCAGGATTCAAGCTATCAATGTACATCCCTTTATAAGCATGTGTACCCCCCACAACAGCTTTGGAACAGCTGAGCACTGAACAAAATTGCAGATTTCATTATTCTTCTGTTTATCATTATCTCCAAAGAAATGTATCTTTCTTACTACATAAAACATTCATAGTTTAGAACTTTTTGCTAACACAGGTGCTTAATGTTGAAAACAGGATTGTGGGTTTTTTCAGCCAGAACGATAACATTTAAACAGATACACATATATAGTTCCTTTATTCCTTCTGGCTAATTTTTCTATTACTCGCATTCCAGGTGTTTGTTTCCTGTATTTTCAGGTGCTTAATTTGGTACTCCTCTTCTTGATACCACTCTGGTCTTTTCGGTCACTTTCTGCCTTTTTATGCTTTTCTCCACTGCATTTTTGGACCTGTCTAAAACCCAGTCTCTTATGACATTATCATTTGCTTTCACCATTGTCAACAGGGCAATTTCTTTCAGTACTGTAGGTCATTAAAATTTGCAGCTTTTTTCTAAATTTCCTGCCATTCCTTTATTTCCTTTCCCCCTTAATAATATGATATAAAACTGTTCTTCATTATCTTTTTTAATATAATCCCTGTTAACAAAATCACTTTTTAATTTTAGTCAGACCCTGGTCCACTCATTCCTCTTTCAAAAATTAAAATAAATTAAATAAGTAAAGGTATGACTACTTATTTACAAAATTCCTCCCAGGAAAAATTATAATTATACAATTATACAATATAACTGTACCATAAACAAGCATCCTCATCCTAATATTCAGAATCTTCTAAGAGAAATTAATATAATGTGTTTATTAAGTGTTTAAACAAATAATCATACAAACCAATATAGTATCATCAAGTGCTGTCATTCTTGGATGCCTGAATTAAACTGGTTATACACCTTACACAGTATGAAAAAACACTTTTGAAGAGACACAAAGAATTTGAGAATAGTTGCTTGAAATCAAAATTATCAAAATCTAGGCTTTACTGGGATTAATTATTTGGGATTACACTAAGGTCAACTATAAATTCTGACTAAAAGAAGCAATTGGTCTAAGAGTGGAAGGCAGACACTACTATTTTTACAGTGCTCATAGTAATATTGTGACACTGAGCCCTGCTACAAATGGGAGCTGTGCAGCATGACATTTTCCTAGGAAAGAAAATGCAGCAGTAAACATCATTAGTCAAGCAAGACCTACACGTCATAAGCAATAGGCAAGAGTCCAGGAAGGCCACAAGGTTAAAATGCTTTGTTTGAGTAATTATAGGATTTGAAGGATTAGGCTGAACCAAAGGATTTAAGGACATGGAAGGATTAAAGGGAGAAATAAATAAATTAAATTAAAAAGAATGAAGGTATAGACAGCAGCACAAAAAGTGATATCACAGTCACTAATTTTTGAAACAAGAATTGTTAAATAAAATAGATGTAATTGCATGCAACATGATTTTGCTGTATTTGTTTGCTAGTCATTAGCTGAGTCTGCAGAGACAAAGATTCTTTCCAAAAGAGCTGTATGTTTCTGAGATTGAAGATCTAGCAGAAAAACCATGTATTTGAGGTGAGATGTCTCAGCCAACTTCTTTGTACCCCAGAATGTATTCCATGGCTTCTGTGAAAGTGAAATCCTGGAGTACAAACCATAGGCGAGATCACAGCCACTCCAGCCTGTTACTGAAATCTGAAAGTTCTTGCCATACACCCGCAAAAAAGAATTCCAATCTTTACCTTATGCTACCCTAAGTTACAACATTTTACAAAGCCAAGTTTGTTTAAAAGCCTACTTCCCTCGTGAACTGTTAATAGTGAGAATTAATTCAGAGTTTGTTTCTTGAATGTTGTGGATAAGAAAAATTATTCAAGGGTTATGATGCCCAAGCACTCCATAGGTCATGATGAATAAAACGAGAAGATAACCATAACAGTAGACATAAAAAGGCTGGGGTGTTTTATGAAACAGTTACTCACAAATGGTAAGTGCCATTACCTTGAAAGTGCAAGGTAATGGCACTTTCAGCAAAGCCGTGCAAAGCGAGCACGGTTTGACAAATCGCCTTTGGAAACAGCTCTGAGAAATGACGGCCACGGGCCGGGCCGGGGCGGCCAGCGCGGGCGCGCCCTCTGCCGGGCGGCGGCGGCACGACAGCAGCAGCAGCCCTCCATTGCTGCTGGGCCCGGCCCGCCGTGGCTGCTGGGCCCGGAGAGCCATTGCTGCTGGGCCGGAGCGGTACCGCTGCTGGGCCCGGAGCGCTATCGCTGCTGGGCCAGCCCGCCGTGGCTGCTGGGCCCGGAGAGCCGTGGCTGCTGGGCCGGGAGCACAGCGCCGGGTGCGCCCGCCTGGAACTGCGGGAACTGACAGCGACACGCCTGGCGGCTAACAAAACAAAATCCTGTTAGCAACACAGCAAATCAGACACTGGATTCTTCGTACATTTCCTTACATCTTTTTATTAAGGCCTAGGCGTCCTGTTTCTCGCAGTGATTACCCTAGAAGCCTAGTTTTGCTGCAGGAACATTGGGCAAAGCCCTAAACTGGTTAGCATTATTTATTATTTCCATATTTAAATAAAATAACAAGTTTTAATGTAAGAACTGTTTTTAATATTACAGTATGAGGGCTTTTTTTCTTTCTCAAGTACTATTTAACTTGCATTTCTTGATTCAAACAGAATATTACTTCAGAAAGCTTCAGAAATTCAGACACTAGCCCAGTTCACAGATCCTATAATTACACCTGGCCTTATTTCTAAGATAGGAAATGGATGCAGTGTTTAGAAGTGCTTTGTTACAAATAACCCCAATATGACACATGGATACATAATTCTTTATTCATTAAATCTGCTAACCTATATCAGATTGCAAAAACTTATTAGAATAGACCATCCTTTTCATCCTATTTGATACTGACATCATATGCCAACAAGAAATATTATTGGTGGATATTTGCCTTTTGAAGTTCAGCTTTTCTGCATGACAGAAAAATCAAATTACTCTTTTTAAAAGCTGTTGTTATTTTCAGCCAAGATTCACCAGCAGCTTGCTGTCTAAAAAACTAGCTTTTTCTAAAGTGAATAATCGCAGTGAAACAGCATCCCCCAACAGCTCATGCTGGCAAATTTTCCCCCACTCCTGTCAGTGTGCTGAGTCCTGGTTATCAAGTTTCTAGAGGAATTTTTAGTCCAGCTTTGGAGCTGTTTGTGGCGCAGTGGTTCTCACACAGTATGTGAGGGGGCATTCATTGTAAAGCTCTTCACCAGTAGCAGGGGTGGCTACTGATTTCCCTCATGTGGGTCACTGACCAGACACCAGATGGTGGAAACATCCTGTCCTACTAATCTGGCCCAGAGTTGGCAATTCAGAGGTGAAAAGCTTTATCCCATTACCAATTGCCTGAGCCATCCTGTCTCCAGCCTGCAGGCTGAAGATTAAACAGCTACTTGTCTTGGAGTAACTACCACCCCCTCAAATATCCCATCCACATCCACTGCACAGCCCAGGCATCTACTGGGCAGATCTGGGAGAAGAGCGATAAATGTCAGTACATTTTATTGACTTTAGATTCTGCCTAAGGAGGAATGAAAAAGATGCCAGGCTGGTAAAATTACAGCATCAATTTGAATACTTATGCAATGTCTGGAAGGAAAAGTTTATTGCAGAAAAAACATCAGGAAAAGTAGAAAATCCCAGTAGTCTGTTTGTGAGAAATGCAACTGGAAATAAATGGAGTAGGCATCCTAAGAAAAGAAAAAAAACAGTATGCAATTCCCTTTTGCAGGTTTTAGGGAAAGAATCACTTTATTGGCATTAACCTTAGACATTCAGAACACCTTAATCAGCTCAGAACAGAAGAACTAGTTTAAGTGAATTTATTAATCCTGTCATCCCCATTTTCTTTGCCCTCTGCACAAATACTTTGTTCTGGTGCACATTTGAGCTTTTAATTTGTACACAATAGATTTCTGTACTGCATCCACAATTGCTATCAAAATTTCTAGTTTACACTATAAATTGCCAGATAAGCTACTTTTACATTTGTGAAGATGACATAAAACATTTAATTTGGAGTTCAAGATAACTGCAAGGGAAACTTACAGAATTTCTGAGCTTCTCCATATCCAGATGGAATCACTGGAATTCTTTAAAAATGCAAATGAATTAAGTACCAGTATAAATGTGGAAAATGTGAGAACACAAGAGGAAGGAGACAGTAGGTTATTTTTAAATGTAAATAAATGTACATTTCTTTGTTAGACTTGGATATATTTGGATCTATATTCTTTCACTCCTGCAGAAAAACACGATTCAGATTACACATCAAGATCTTATAAAATCCTGTCCCACTATAATTACCACAAGCACCAGGACATCTAGTTAAGACTCCTTCACCCATCTGGAAGACTGGACTGTTCAAATCTGTCAAGCCATGTACAAAGATCTCATTTCCAGGGGAGCCATGGAAGTAACTGTAAAAGAGCTTCCCCTGAGAGAGGGGAATGGGCAAGCATAGCTCCTTGCTGCTATCTTAGTATGCATTCCTCGCGTCATGTTTCACACAGCTTCACTCAGGGCAGCTACAGAAATGTGTGTGCACTGTGTATGTATAAAAGTTCTTGGTTAGCTTTACTCATGATAACCTGCTTAATCCATTTACAATCATGTTTCTAACAACTAAAATTACTCATCTTTTGTCCATAGCCATCCTGCCGCATCACACTTAGTGTCCCAGTAAGTAGTAAAAAACATTGTTCTAAGGTAGACTACACAAACTGGAATTTCTCATGTGTAATTATTTTCCTTCAAAATAATTAGGTCGGCAAAAAAAAAAAAATATTAAAAAGCTCCTCTACTGTTTAATTAAAAAAGAAAAACAAAAACAAAAGAACAGAACCAAAACCAAACAAAACCCAAAACCAAACAAAAACCCCAAAACAAAAACAAAACAACAACAAAAAAAGAAAAACATGAAAATGAACATGGAATTGGAAAAGAAAGTTTAAAAAAAAGAGTATTTACAGTACCTTGCAGTTAATACAAGAAACTGATTTTTTTTCCTTTAATTTGGAAAAGACGGGAGAAAAAAGTAAGTTAAAGGAAAATAGGCTAAGGAATATATTCAGAAAGGGTATAAGAATGTTTATCTAAGGGAACTGTTTTTCAAGGTCCAGATAATAATTTAAAACAAAAAGTATGCTTATCAAAAACACAATCAAAGAAAAATACATTAAAAATTGGGAATTTTTAATGGAAATTACTACAGCTGACCCGTAGGATAACCATAATGAACCTGTCAGTATCAGTAGCTAGATGATCCCTGGCCATTGCTGAGTAGCCACAGTACAGCTTGTGTGCTTCTGAAAACACAGCTGGGCCATTGGCAGAAATTACATTTTCATTACAAAATTTGACCCCTTTGTGGACTTGCAGAACAGCTTCTTTTCAGAAGAGCTCTTTAATAACGGGGCCTGTAATAAAACTATTATTATGTTTGGCACCCTGACTGGACAAACCAGTTGTGCTGCCCTTTAAAGCTAAACATAAGACCACATCACACAAGGAGTACTGCTGCCATTTCTGTCACTGTATGGCATCCACATGGAACTTAACTGTATTTAGCTGGCAATAATCTAAAAAACATTTGGTATGTAACTATGTGCTCCTGACAGAGTTCACCAGGAAGGTCTGTTTTGCAAAGACCAAACATTTCTTTAGTGTACATTATCTGCTATTTGTCCTGCTCTCTAAAACAGAATCATCTGTTTCCTTTGAAAAAGTTTCCATCAGCACTCATAACTCAAAGAAAATATTGTTTTAAAAACCCTTAGTGAGCATATGTACCTGGATGGTCAGATGGATAAAACCATGCATATATTAAGCACTATGCACACATGGTAGCAACTGCAACATCTGCAAAAACGTAGGTAAAAGTGACTTTAGGATGATTGAGCAAACAGAATGGCTATCTATCCTGCAGTGGGAGACCAAGACTGTTAGGGGAGTGAAATGAAATCATGGAGAGGATCAAATTACTCTCTTATGTTATTCTCTTGCAGCAAACTACAGGGCAATATTGGTACTAGAAGAATAAGCAGGACATGAATAAATTCATACTGGAAGTAAGAATGCATTGCTAATCACCAGGGTGTTTTGGATGAAAAGGATATTATGATAGTGAAATACTGTTTATTACCTCCCCTTGGCAGCCTTCCATCTGCACCTGAAACTGGGGCTATATGCTTTCCTTCCTATGGAAAAGTAGTGTCACTCTCTTTGAGGAGCCCATCAATGAAATAAGGATACCACCTCCAGCAAAGAGCATGTCCTATGTTTGCTCCCACACAAGAGCCAGGACAGAAAGGCCCTACTGGTTATAATTAGCAAAGTTTTCGATACTTTTCCTCATAGTATCTTTCTGGATAAATTGTCCAGCACACAGCTGGATAAACACATCATGTGATGGGTGAGCAACTGGCTCCCAGGTCAGGTGCAAAGGGTTATGGTGAAGGGGGTGACACCAGACTGGTGTCACTAGTGTCACTAGTGTGGTTCTCAAGGCTTCACCCTCATCCCTGTGTTTGTCAACATCATCAATGAGCTGGGCACAGGACTGGAAGTGATACTAAACAAATTTACAGACAGTACAAATCTGGGAGGAGCTGTTGACTCCTTCAAAGGCCTGGAGGTCCTACAGAGAGACCTCAACAAATTCAGCAACTCAACAATCAGCGACCACGTGAAATTCAACAAAGGAAAGTGCTGGATTCTGCACCTGGGATGGGCAACCCTGTATGTATGGACAGACTGGGGAATGAGAGCCTGGGAAACACTGACATGGAAAGGAAGCTGGGGGTCCTGGCTGGTGGAAAGTTGAATTTGAGTCAGCAGTGCCCTGGCAGCCTGGAGGACCAGGAGTTGGACTTGGACTGGTGCCATGCAGGAGTCGGACTTGGTCATCCCTGTGCGGCCCTTCCAACTCAGCTTATTCCGTGCTTCTGTGATAATGCAGCAGAGCGTGGAGCTACCGTGGATTTCTCAGCCAGTCTGAGCATGGCACACTGCTGACCGCGGCTTGGCACTGGCGGCCGGCACACAGGCGGAGAGCGCGGGCTCCGAGCTCCATCACTGGGATCACCCGGCATTCCCGGTTCCCTCCCTGCTGCTCCATCACTGGGATCCCTCAGCATTCCCGGTTCCCTCCCGGCTGCTCCATCACTGGGATCCCTCGGCATTCCCGGCTCCCTCCCTGCTGTTCCATCACTGGGATCCCTCAGCATTCCCGGCTCCCTCCCGGCTGCTCCATCACTGGGATCACCCGGCATTCCCGGTTCGCTCCCGCTGCGCAGCCCCACCCCCGAGGCCGCGCGGGCGCGCAGTGACGCAGGCAGCCCGCGGCGCGGCGGGGCGGGGCGGGGCGTGGCGCGAGGCCGCGGCCGGCAGAGGGCGCTGCGGTGCCGCGCGGCGCGCGCGGCGGGGCGTGGCGCGGCGCGCGCGGCCCGGCGTGCACCGCGGCGGCGTTTGAATGGCGCAGGCTCCGGGCGCCGGGCCCCGGCAGTAGCGCTCCCGCCGCTCCTCCCGCCCGGCCCGGCCCCGAACATGAGCAGCGGGTGAGTGGCGCGGGGCCGGCCGCGGCCGCGGGGAGCGCAGCGGGGTCGCGCTGTGCCCCGCCGGGACTGGGCGCGGCTCCGCGGCGTCGCGCCGGGCGGGCGGCGGGGGCCGCGGGCGGTGCGCGGGCGCGGATCGCTCCGTGCCGCTGGCCGGCGGCCTCGCCCGGCGCCCCGGCCCTGCCGTGTGCGGTGCCCGCCGCCCCCGGAGAGCGGGCTGTGGCACTTGGGTTCCTCTCTGAAATGGTGCCAGCAGGCTCGGCTCGAAGCAGGCGCGTGTGGTGGCGGATACGTGCCAGGAGAACGGGGCAGGCTCTGGTGCTGCCGAAAGGGAGGAGGACAGCAAGCTGGGTGTGAGGCCTGCTGACGGATTTAATTTCTTGGGTGTGACAGATTCCAGGGGCAAGGAGGAGGGTGAGGGGGGGCCTTAAGTGCTTGAAGATCAGATCCTGCATTAATGACTTCGTTCAAAAGGCTTCAAATTATTTTTTTCAGTGTTGGGCTGGATAATTTGACATGCAGATTTAAAGTAAAGACATTTTGAATAGAGAGCTCTTTTAAGACTAGAGAGATTAGGTGGTGATCTTGGAAATCTTTTGTTTCTGTTTTTGTAACATGCTTTGCTTTGGAGCAAGGTTAAGTCCGTTGGCTTAGAAGCAGCTTTCGTCCATCTTTTCCTGGAACATCATTTTTGCTTTTCCTGTTCTGTTTTTTTCTTCCTCTTATTCCCTGACTGTAATCAGGGAACTAATTAAAAATATGTAGCTATCCACGTTTAGTAGAATTAAAACATAACAGAAGGCAGATTTGTGCCTCTTTTGCCTTGCTGATTGGAAAGAATATGTTCTGGAACTAAAATTAGAATTGATATGAACTTCTAAACTTTGAAACTCAGAATATCATTATATTAAAAATGTTATAATTGAGGTAGTTCATATATATGTATTGGAAAGTAAATGGCATTATGCTGATATGCATGTATTCTTAAGGCCATGTGTATATATATACACTTGCCTACTTTTACTGTATGTTGTTCCTAGGGTAAGAAGCTTGACTAAGAATGAAGAAGGTTTTTTGAATGCTGTAAATAGACTACCGTCAATAATAGAAGTGTATTTGAGGGTAGCATAAAAAGCCATGTGAAAGTTGTGTAATCGCAGACTGTCCTGCCAGGTGGGCGTGTAGTGAGTACTTCCTTAGCCTCCACCAAGTTTGCAGCTTGAGGGGTTTGCCAGTATGTCTGTCTCTGGGTTTGATTTCAAAATTCTTGTTCCAGTTTTTTTAAAATTCTTTGGGTTGAGCAGCAAATGGTAAAAGAAATTGCTGTATTTGATATCATGGGTAGTTTCTTAAAGAGCCATGTAAAACGTTAATGTGGAAGCTTCAATATTGTGGAAATCTATTTATTTTATAACACCTCTTAGTTATAAAACCTTTTCAAATTTATTGTCCCCAGAGTGTTCATAAGTGAAAATCAACAGGTAGAAGTATCTTTTCATTAGTGAAAGATGACTTCAGAAAGGACTTCACCACTGACAACTGCTGTTACTTTATGGCAGCTTAACAAACCTGTCAGTTGGTGCCTCCAGAAGCAGAAAACTGAGTTCTTGTTTGACTTTTTTTTTTGTAGAAAATGTAAATAAGGTTCAGTTATTAGACTCCCAGGCTGTCTCCACAAGAGGAGCTAATGCACACCAGGGTTCCTCCTCACTAAACTTGGAGGAGCTGTCACATGTTGTTGTTTTTGGAGGTTCATTATGACAGTGGGCCACATACGAATTTCAAATGTAAGAGGAAAATGAGCTTAAATCTTAGGTATAAGCTAATTTACCATAACTAGTTGTTCAAATAGTATTTTCATTTCTTGCAAATTTAGAGAAATTTCTGTAGTTTTTATCAGCATAGGAAACTTTAAACTGGAACAAATGCCCTGACAAGTGTAGTACATTAAAAAGCTGTTCTGCTGGCATATAACACTCTTTATAATGTTGCAGAAAAATTTTGCATTAACATACTCCTTAAAATCTTGAACTCCACTTCCTCTTTTTAAGAAAACTCAATTTTCAATTACTAAAAAAGAAATTTGAAAAAACCAAACTGTTTCATATGCAAAAGATGTGGAAGCCTTCTAGAAGAAAGACAAATGGATTTTGTAACATTTATTGGAGCTAAAATGAAGTTATGCCAAGCTTACAGAATCACTTCTACATCACAAGATAGTGCTAATTTATTTTTGGAAGTAAATTTGAAATAACCATCCTTGGAAGTTACTTGTGACCATTGTAGCTCTGATAATTGCCAGTGAAATGAGTTGACCATTACTGCTTCCCTGATGCGTACCTGTTTGGAATGCTTTCAAAGCATGTGCTCTCCTCCTTGGGATAATGATTAATTAGGTTTTTCATCTGAGTTTAATATTGTCATCCTTGAACTTGCAGTTGGGTTGCTGTGAGGTGGAGTAGAGTCACAGGAATATTTACCATGGCTGGTGCACATGGAATGCTGCAGGAAGAATTGGCTGTTAAGAATTTGGACAAGGAATAGGATGGAAGAGTGTGTGTTTTAAAAGGTATTGCTGATGGCTTAAGAGATCTAACTATTTTACATTTTCCTTGCTGCCATGCAAAGTATGCCAGCCTGTATTCTGTAAGAAAATAATTTTATGTTAATATGCACATAGATTATGTAATGTGCCCAGAAGAGTTTGTCCTTCTCAGGGGACTGTGCTCAGAACTTGGGACATGGGAGGGAGTGGCAGAGTTGTTAATACTTGCCTTCAACAGATGTGCACTTGAAAGCCTGTTAGTGCTGGCTGTCTTTGCCTAATTCTGGTATGACCTGAAGAGTTTTGTTGCATCTGGGAGAGATCAGAGATAGAAAATACCTGTAGAACCATGAGGAAAACTTTGCACAGGTAGTGTCTGTTGGCTGTGGGGACAAACCAGCTTCTTCTCAGGAGACATGGCTGCTATTACTCTAGTCCTTCTGCTTACTGAAGATTGACGAGAGTAAAAGGGGCAGAAGGGAAGATTGTTGTCTGTTGTGAGAAATCACCCACTGTATAGGGGAAATGGATGGAATTGGATTCTGTCATCCTAATGACATCATACATCTCTCTACAGATCTGCAGTCTGCCTTGTTAGCTTGTAAAGCAGTTTAGGATTGTACAGTGGACCAAGTCAGATCTGAAGGGGCATGCATTCTCTCCTTAGTTTAATTTAAAAAACTTTGTAAAGTGAGGGAAATGCATTGGCCTCAATGAGATTGTGTAGCAGATTGTCTGATCAAATAAAACTAGCTGTGCTCATCACAAGGGAAAAGTCAGAAATTAAAGACATTAAGGTATAGATTGTTTGTAGTATCTAATGCCAGTTTAAGAACCCTCTGGATATATCCCAAAATTACAGGGGACTGTAGTGTCTAACTAGCTATCCCTAGATGATATCTGTCTGCAAATAGGAAATCAAAGTTGTGAAGAGCCATGTAAAGTGCCTTTCATCCTGTAGCATTCATCTTTTTAATTGCTGGCCAGCCAGCATTTTCCTAGGTGTTACTAAGCCTTTCAAAGCTGGTTTCCTAGGATGGTGACTAAGTTTATTATAGCACTGTTAGGTTTGTGTATACCAGATTCTTCTGCTTGTGTTCTGCACTGTTTGGACTATGTGGGTTGTGTATCTGAATTTAATCATTTTCAGTATATTTTTTTTTTAATGTATTTGCGCATTCTGTTCTAGAACCCATATAAAGCATCTGGATCCACAACATCCTGTGGCAAGCTCAGGTTGATTATAATTTGCACACAGCTTAACCTTGTTTGTTTTGATCAGATCTTCACCTATTGTCTTTTGACCCTTTTTTTTACATTGGGCAAGAGAGGGCACAATCTCTATGCAACTTCTCCAAGCCATTCATTTTGTAGGCCTTTGTCTTATTTCCCCGATGGCTATAAGTAGCCTCTTCCCCAGGCTGAAGAGACTGATCTAATCAGTTGTTGATTATATGAAAGATGTATTTTTAACTTCTTTTGTCTGAGCTGTTTTCTACTTTACTCAGAAGTTTTTTTGACTTTTTAGGGTTGATTAGCTTTTTTTAAAGAAAGGTAACTAACCCTTCTCTCAGTATTTGAAATACAGGCACAAATTCGTTCTGTACACTGCCACAATAGTGTTCTGTTAATTTTTCTATTTATTGATCCACATGGAGTGCTGAGCCATCCAATTGATTGAAGGTAAGCTGTCCTACATCCAGACATTGTTGTGGGTGGCAGTTACTAGCTCAGAGACTGTGATTCCAAAAGGAACCCAGAATTTTCTCCTGCCTGCAGATACATAGGCTTTGCTTTATATTGATCTATAAGTATTGCTTTTGCTTCTTGTACATCACAGTCCTTCTCCAGTTCTTCAGTTAGCCCTTATCTTCACAGCTATGATTTAGTATTGTCAACATTCTTCATCCCCTTTTGTGACATAACTTATTAATATATTGAACAGCATAAACCAATGCAGGTTTCCCCCAGGGATCTGGAGGTGATTTTCTGCACTGTGGGAACTGCTTAGGCAATTTATGGCTGTTCCTGAGATACTTGTGCATGCAAAAGCTTTCCCTTTTTTTCACTTGGTTGCTTAGTTTCCTCAAGATTTAAGTGAGGGACTTGGAAATTCAAATAGACTCTATAATTTAGTTGCCCTTTATCCATGTTGTACTACCCCATATTCTTAATAAATTCCATTAATTTTGCAGAGCAGGACTTCACAGAATCATAATATAATTTGAGTTAGAACAGACCTTAAAGGTTTTCTAGTTACAGTTTCCCTGCTGTGGGAAGGAAGGGACACCTTCCACTAGGCCAGACTGCTCATAGCCCCATCTGACTTGGCCTTGAACACTTTCAGGGATAAGGCATCAACAGCTTCTCTAGGAAACGTGTTCCAGTGCCTCAGTGCCCTCTCAGTAAAGAATTTTGTCCCAATATCCAATCTAAACCTGCCCTGTTTCAGTCTGAACCTATTATCCCCTTTGGGCTATCACAAATGCCCTGGTAAAAAGTCCCTCCCTAGCTCTCTGTAGCCCCTTCAGGTACTGGAAGGCCTCAGTGAGGTCACCCTGGAGCCTTCTCTTCCCCCGGCTGTGTTGCCTTAGTGACAGCCAGGCTGAATCTTTCCCATTATGTTACTTGTTTGTGTCCACTAAGTCTGTTCTTGATTACATTGTTTACTAATTAGTGCAACAGGGATGTCAGTCTGGGTCTTCCTTGAGGCTCTTTAAGTATTGACTCTGTTTTCCACGTGTTTTCTTTAGGTACTTTGTCAGCTCCAAGGGAGCTAAAAACACAGCTGTTTCATTACTGCTTAAATGTTCACTGCTACTTCTGCATAATCGGAGACCCTCAACAGGTTAAACTATTGAAATCCCTTTAAACTGTTGGACAGTGAAGTCATACACGAGGATTTTACTTTGCTTCATTGAATGTTCCTTTATATCTGATAATCTCTTGACCTTTTGCATTTATTTTACCAGTCTTTAAGGAAAGAATTCATAGTTCTGTTGTTTCAATTGGGAGGCTGGGGAACAATATATTCTTATGTCAGATTTGTTAGTGTGTAAAATTCTCTTAATTTTTCTCCTGGACACATGCAACCTTTTGTAAGGAGCTTCCTTCCATCCAGAGTCCTTTCTCTGCAGTTCAGATAGCTCCAGTTCAGGTATTTTGAGATGTTAGATGCTCTTTAGAGTCCAGTATTAAAAACAGATGTTGAATTTCTTTGGTAAGACATTTCTTTCTAGCCTTCTAATATTTTGCACTTCTTTTAAGCAAAAAGTATTCTAGTTATATAGTGCTGTCATTTATTTTGGTGAGCAGATTCTTGTGTACTGCTTAGTGTGAAAGATGGGGGTAGATTGAGATCATTTGTTAAATAAGGAAAAATAAGGAGCAGTCACTGTTAGTCCTGAGGAATTGTAAGCTGATAGTGTGTTATGGGAGTAATCACAAAAATTTTCCTTCAGCAACAGAGATCAGGGGGTTTTTAGCATCTGATGAGGTGGCTGTAGGTTTTAGCTCTGGTGGTTGGAGATTGCCCCCCCCTAATATTTCAGTTTATTGCTTTCCCTTCAGTGTTATTCTCAGTGGATAGAAGAAAAAAAAAGTCAAGACTTTTTCCAAGTCCTCTTTGTCACTGACTGGAATAAAAGGATGGATTTGTTTGGATTTTAGGATTGTTCAGTTTTTCTTCAAAAGTCCAGTTGTTCAGCATATGCCTTTGTGTTGTGATCCAAGTACAAATTTTAATATACAGCCCATTTTGAGTCCACGTAATGGTTTTAACCAGTCTGATAGGCAGAGGAAAAAGTGTTTATGTGAGTTTTTTTCTAAACTTCAGGGAAAAGTTTATTTACAGACCTGTGTGGAAGAGGTCTGTGGAGAGCGAACAAAGTGATCACTCTTCATCACTGTCTCATAGTGTGAAAAAATCAAGTTAATGAACCAGTCTTAAGCCAGACTTGCATCTGGAAAAATATTGGCCACCAGCTGTTAAAGATATTGCCCTAAATAATTCTGCCATTTGAACTTCTTGCTGTAGTCTGAGGGCTCTGTGTTCCCATCTTCCAGAGTAAGGAATTCTGTCAGTAAATATTCCATTTTTGAGAGACATCTTAAGTGAAATTCTTTAGTACTGATCCAATTCCAAAGAATTCCAGAATATTTGAAGAATTTTTTTTTCTTCCACTGTACCCTAAGAGAGGGATTTTAATGTGCCTGAATATCGCATCTGTCTTGTTTTGGCCTGCCACCTGCTTGTTTCATTTGATGGCCTTTAGCTACTGCATGGATCTCCATGGCTAATAAGCTGTTTCCCATCTGGCTTATTCAGTGCTCAGTGTCTTAGTCTTTCAAATGCCAGAGTTCTTAATGTGAGGTAAATCTGCTACATAGAGTAAAGAGAATGGGGCTGCTGCTAAAGATTGAGGGGAGAGATGGGAGCACTCATGTTGAGACCACAGTTGTACCTTTTAGGGGGAAAAAGCAGTAATATTGGAGCAAATGGTTGTCTTTTAAAAGTAGCATAGGATGTCTTGCTAAAACACTTCAAGAATAGTGCCTCTGATGATGGAGTAGTTGAAGCTAGTCTCAAGCAATGGATCTTCTGATCACTTACAAAACATGAAACATGCAAAATCACCTGTATATACAGCTGTCTCAGACTTGGTGTTGATTCTTATAAAAATACTTGCGTACTTCAAGACAAAGGACTTTAGCCATAGAATAAACTTGTGGGGTTTAGTATGAAAAATGGCCAAAGCACTGCATTGACAGAAATGGGTGGGGAGGGGGGATGTACATTTGCCAATAAACTAAGGGGAAGATCTTTCACTGTTTTTTTGAACCTTCATTATTTTGATAAAGCTTGCTTTCTTCCTAAAAAAACAAGAATCAGTTTTTTAGCTGCCTTTTGTTCTTGGAAACAAATGTGAAACCAATTTTTTTGCTCTAGGTGGCAGATGAAATTCATAGTGTGAGGAAAGAATTTCATAAATTTCCCTATTCTTTACTTGAGTTCTTGTTTGTATGGCACCCCTCAGTGCAGGTGTAGAAACTGGTGTGAAAACAGAATCTCTGCTTGGTTTCTTAGGGTGATTTTTGTTTTGTTTCCTCTTTCTTGAAAGCTAAATAGGGATTTTGAAATTCCATAGTGTTAATAATAAGGCCTCCATCCTTTAATATGCACTAAAGGATGATGTCTTGGGTTATATCTAGGATGGAAGGTCTTGGAAATAGTTGAATTCTAGTGTTGCTAGCTGTGTTTGAAGAAATCTGACAGAATGTTTTAGAAAATACAACTAAATCTTTCCCTTGAGAACAGGGATTTGAGAGATTATGGCATCTGAAGCTCACAATGTTAAAAACCAGAAAGTTTTGCTTATTGAAGGTCATCCCATTGATCTCCCCAGAAAAAGAATCTCTTCTTCCACTAAAAAGATCATGAAGGAGGTAAGCTGTTTTGTGTTGTTTCTTGGGTTGTTTTATGTCCTCTGAGAAAATTGATGATTTAAACAAGTTTATAGTTCTGAGTAGTCTAAATCTAGAAGCACAACACTACTAAACATTTGATATTTTGATGTGCAGTAGAACTTTGAGTTGTTTCTATAGCAGTTTTATTATGAAAACTGTGTAATAGATCCAGGCAGCAGCTGCGTAGATCAGTGCATTGTATCATCCATATGAGCAGTAGGTATTATTGATACAGTCTTACTCATGTGTGCTTTTCTGCAATCTTGCCAAAAAAATGTTTCAATACAGGAATTCTGTCATGAAAATTCTTTCTTGCCAAGAGAGCTGCATGGCACAAGTGAGAGGTGGAGTAGGTGAAACCCATTCATTGAAATAGATCGTTGTATAATTATACAGCTTCACCTAGCACGTTGGTAGCACGTAGATTTTCACTGGATTCTTGCTACTCAAAAGTAATTCTTGAAAATTCTTACCTGTGTTACTGACTGAAGAGTAAGACAGTGAGGTACAGAGGAAGCACTGGAGAGGCAAACTTACTGTAAGACCTCTTCAAACAGTGGTGAAGATATCAATATCTGCTGTTTATTAAAATTTTCTATTAAAACTAATATTTTATGACCAGTGTTACCAAAGAAAGATAACATTCTGCTGATGGCACAATCTAAATGTTACCATTAATGCTAAGTAGTATAGATGGGAGTGTTTGACCCTTTATAGTAATACAGCTTTTTTTCTCTTATTTCCTTTCTCCCAGGGTAAGAAATCTCCAAAACAGCTGGCTTCATACACAAACAGGTAGGAGGGCTGTGCTGTGTGATATCTGAGTTTAAAGTGTGACAGAGGTAGGGAGAAAATCACAGTTGAAATTGATTACAACACTAAAGCCAACACAAAGGGATGATAGGTCTTGATTTTAAAGACCATTCTTTGTTCTTGTGTTTTCTTCCATAACAGCGAGTCTCTGCAGTACTAAAAACAGAATAATATTGGTGGCATGATTTCTAATAACCCTAGTGTCATTAGGATATGTACTGGGGGAAAAATGTTTTCAACAACCTGAAATCTGACTGCTGAATTCATAATTATATATATAAACATAATAATGCAATTGATTTGGTTTGGATCAACCTTCACTAAAGTAGTGCTTTATTATTGCAGAGTAACGGTTGGAAAAACGGTGGCCAGTCCCCTCTCTCTTTTCAAAGTGGTATATTGTAAAAGGAAAGTTCATTGTTATACTCCAAAGCCTTGTTACAGAAAGAAACTGTGCCCTAAATCTAGGGGCCGTGACATGGCAAATAAAGAAAATGAACTGGCTTGTGCAGGGAATCTGCCAGCAAAACTTCACAACAGTCGGACACACTTGCTGAATTCTAGCGACTCTGGCTCGTCTCAAACAGAAGGCCCCTCATCCAAATACAGTGCATTTTTTTCCGAGGTAGGTAGAGTTTGAAGAAGCTCCAGTTGAAAAAAGTGTTTGTTGTAATTAGCTGTGAAAGTGTCTTTCTTTAGATTAATTTCCTTCAGTTCCACAGATAGCAGGTCTTGTGATTTACAGTCTGTCCATTTATGGTGATGCAGTTGTCAATAGTAATAGTCCTGCCACTTTTCTTATATTTGTATCAGGTCAGAAGTTCAGATCTGCCGGACTTGACTGGGTTAAAATTGTGCCAGCATCAAAGGAGAATGTTGTTTTGACCTGCATAGGTTTTATGAACTGGCAGGACAGGTGTCCACATGTGTGTTTATAGAAGTGTAAAGATGTTAGTATATCAATGAGAATAATCATTGGTGAGGTAGATTACGACAATTTTCAATAGCAGTATCAACTTTGTGCAAAACTAACTAAAGTGTTTGTGTGAGCTTTATTTCTTGTTGGGGTTGGTTGAGGAAACTTAGACGATGCTTGTAGGGCTTCTGAAACTGTCTAAAAGGTCAGATATTTAAATTAAATGGATTTTATGACAGTGAAGGCCATTTAAGGCCCTTAATGTTGAAGTTTGCATTTCTGTCACAATAGATTTTTGTTACTCCTTGGGGCTTGCAGGGGTTTAAGGTGAGGCATGGCAGGGAAGGTAAGATCAGAAACTGTCACCCGCCATGCTGCTGTCTTGTCACAGTGCTGTAAATGTGTGCTCCTGTGAGGGAGAGCCCTGAGAAGCTGCTGGGCTGAAGGTGCAAATCTGCAGCACTTCTGCACTGTTAAATTTGGTGGTTTCAAGAAAAGAGCAGAATAGCTACAATAAAGAGGCTGCAGAAAGATGGGTAAAGAAATGAAGATGGGAAGATTCATTTTCTGAGAAGCTAAGGAGCAGATCACTGGCCTCTGGTCACAAATGACTGTTTACCTGGTTTGAGAGATGTGTGTGGCTCTGCAGTGTTCATCCCAATCCAAGGTCTAATTAATTAAAATGCCTGAACTTCATTCAGAGAACAGGCTTTTTCAGAAATGAACCTTTTCTGTTGGAGTTTAGAATAATACATGCAATTACTTGTGTCTAAATTGTGTCAAAATTAATAATCATCTAAGTAAAAAGTTCTCAGAGTTGGTGAGAATTATAGGTTGATGCACATGAATGCTCATTTTAATTATTAGATACCTGTCTTAGGTGATAAAGAGGTACAAACCTTATTCTTGCAGCTTTCATGTAAAGTAGGTGATATTCTTGTGACCCCTAAGGGAAATTTATGGGTTTAGGTCTATTCTTAGATAAATTTCTAAAACAGACTTATCAACATATAGGTAGAATATACCAGATTATATTTGAGTAGTTTATTGTTTTATCACTGGCTGCTTAACTTGTGGCAACTTTTTATATTTTTAAAAATGCAGGTTTCTCAGGACCATGAAACTATGGCTCAAGTTCTTTTCAGCAGGAATCTGAGACTGAATGTAGCTTTAACCTTTTGGAGAAGGAGAAGTATAAGTGAACTGGTAGCCTACTTAGTGAGGTAAAATAAATCTCTTCTTTTATATCCTTAAAATGACAGCAATCTCAAATATACTGCAGTATTTGTAGCAGTTCTGTAAATGTTGTGACTTAGTTACACTGTTTAAATCATAGTGGAAGCATATGCTTCTACTACTAGTAGTAGGATCTACAGGTAACACTTCTGATTTTATTCTTACTGTTTCTAGGATACAGGATCTTGGAGTAGTAGTAGACTGCCTTCCTGTGCTTACAAACAGGTACAAACAGAAAAAAAGTGGGGAATTAGAACATGCTTATGACTACATAGAAGTTCATACACTTCTGAAACATCTTGTTTTTAAGTTTACAGGAAGAAAAACCATATGTTTCTGTTGGCTGCTGTGTAGATCTTTTGCCCTTAGTGAAATCTCTGCTTAAAAGCAAATACGAAGAGTAAGTATCATCAGCTTGGGATGTTTTTGAAACATTATTACTTCCTGGCTTTACAGAGCCCTGGAAATCAATGGTTTTTAATCCTCTGACTCTTGTTCCCTCTGCCCCTTCTCCAGCTCTGCCTTTCTCAGGAAATGAGAGAGGTTCGGAGGAAATCTTCCATTCCAGAGCTTTCTCCTCTAACAAAACAGCAGTGCAGAAATTTTTTTCTGCAATGTTAGGCACTTGAGGGAGAGGACTGGCTTTGCCCTTATGCAGATATATTTATCCTAAATATTAAAAAAGATTAGCACTGAGGTTTTAGTATGCTTTATAACATATAATCAAGGCAGAGTTTTCTTGTACTTTTTCAACAAGAGCTTCAGACTACCACTTAGAAATTGCAAGTGTAAACAAGAATTTAAATTTACCAATTTGTCTAGATTCTTTCCTTCTAGAATAGAAAATGTTGGTTTCTCAATTGCTTACAAAGTTATCTTAATGCTTTATTTATCTGGCTTGTAGCTAATTTTCAGGGAGAGGGAAATACATAATGTGTAAAATGTGTTGTTACAGATACGTGATAGTGGGTTTAAACTGGCTTCAGGCTGTCATTAAAAGATGGTGGTCAGAACTATCTGCACATACAGAAAAGGCAGAAGATGGGTGAGTATAGTGTTGGGAAATACTTAAATGTGTTTCTGATTTCATCTCAATCTGTTCTAATTTTGATCAGTAGGAGCACATCTTGCCTACAAAAGGCACACTTGCAATTTTAAAGTTAAAGCTTAGAAGTATTTTAAGGATAGTTAAGTCACTGGTTTTGTTTTTCTTTTTTTTGCTACTGTTTTAATACCTGTAGGATGTAGTCATATCAGGGATTATACAAATGCTGTAGAAGTTGAATCAAAATTTTTCGGCTCTTGTGGCAATACCTATTGTATAGGCTAAGTCTATATGCAGTATTAATAATTCATTTTAATAAAAGAGACTACTGAAATATACTACCTGGGTTATAAAGTGATGTTCATTCTCTTTCAGAAACATTCATATTTTAAAACAACAGTTAAGTATTTTGTGGGAACAGGAGAATCACCTTACTCTGGTTCCAGGATATACTGGTAATATAGCTAAGGTAAGTTCTGGTTCCAGTTCTGGTTGTGTTCAGTAATAAACATGATTGTATCACTTCTGGTATTCCTCCTGTTTTACTTATGCTAAACTGTGGTTGGACAGAAACACGTTTACTTTAGTTACTGCTAATGCTCAAGTGTATTGCATGGTTTTTACAGAAATCTGGAGTTATTTCTCTATGATAGTTCTGTGAATTAAAATTATAATTATGCTTAAGCATCTCCTTAATAACAAAGTATCCAATAGTAATGAGCCTTAAAATGATATGAAAAAGGGCTCAGTTGAGTGGGTAGACTGTGGAAGGGACAGATGTTTTCTCTTAGATCTGTTGTAGCCATTGTAGTAAGTGTAATTGAGAATCTTAGCCTGGGAACAACATTGGCATTTGCACATCAGGTGCAGGAGCAAGTGACAACATACTAAATTCTAAAGCTTATTGCTGACCTAATGCTTAGAAAATTGTGAGTTTCTGGTGGGCAGAAGAGCCTGTCTGAGACACATCCCTGCTTGCATTTTTCATTAGGTTGTGGTATCAGTTACATAATGAGGGTGTCTGGTAGATCCATACTTTTCTGTTTGTGCTCATCTCTATATACATGGCTTTTTGAGACTGGGCACCAAAAGTTAGACTAGATAGAAACATCTCCAGGTGGAGGGACCTGGTGAAGGTGGACTGTGAGAAAGGAGTTACAGCAAACAGTTGATTGTGTGCAAGATTTGAGTGAACTTGAAAAGAACTTAAAAATTGCATCTTTTACTTATATCTGAAGGAGTTTTGGTGAATCTATATTTCTGTGCTACAGAATTGATCACTTTGATATGTCAAACAAGTAAACTCTTTTTTTCTGGGACTGCTGTGAACCTGCGACTTCAGTTTTGATGTCCCTACAAGGATAGTTATAAAATCCTTGCAGCATTTCAGTCAACAGGGATGCAGAAGAGCTGAGTTCTATCTGCCAACGTGGTTGAGCTATGAGAGCATGTTATGTGGACTGCCTAGTTCTTTTGCTGGATCAGAATAGCAGCTATAGGTAGTGTCAGTTTGTTTCTCTAGAGTTCAGGTTCCCTTTATGTTCATTTGCTGTCTTAATGTATCAGGATAGATTGTGACCAAAGTCACCTGAGCAAGTCAGAGCAAAAGTAGTCCAAGAATGTTGGAGGGGTTGGGTGAAGGAATGTCATACATAACATGTTTTAACTATGTGATCATATGATGAGGATGATCTTTCCTGCTCATGCAGGGAGCAGAGGAATAACAGATGAAACTGATAGCTTTGAAAACTAATCCTACTCTTCTGGCAGGCTTTTTAGTACCTGAAGAAGTGTCATTGTAAACATTAATTGAAAGTAATCATGATGATAACTGGTTCTGAAATTTGGGCAAATATAATTATTTGTGTGTTATGGTCCTGAGGTTGCCCTGCTTCAGACAAAGAGTTGATGTTGGAGCTATAAGTAAAGTGACAAACACTTTCTCCTTTTTTTCCTTCTAGGATGTAAATGCTTATTTATTGCAGCTACACTGACATGATGGGGAAACAGTGTGCTTATGTGGTGAAACAGTCCCTAAAGTATCCCTGAAATATGTGCTGAAAGCCTTTTGAGAAATACTGGCAGAAGAGAACTGAACTGTCAAGCTGTTTAATGAAACCACTAACAAAACTCTAACAATCTACTTCACATTGAAGTGGAAAAATGTCTAGTAGGAGCAACTTTTACTTCAATGAGGTGAAAGTGCACTATGAAAACTGTATGCCTTTGCTGCATTTGGGATTTGCTCAGTTCCTAGGTATTCCTTTAAATGCTACTGTACCTTACAACATCATCCATAAAAGAAGATGAACTATACTGTCATGAAGACAAGACAGCAAAACCAGTTATAAGGAACCAACAAAAACAATCAGCATTAAGAGCTTTTAAATGTCTCTTTCACGAGAGAACTCCAAAATGCACAACTATCTTCCAATTACATAAAATACTAAAAACTTTGGGCTATTCAGTTACTTGTATGTTTTAATCAAATTATTAAAGACAGTTTTTGTTTGCACTATTGAGAAACTATACAGCAAAGATGCCTTAATTACTAGTGTTTCAAGAAGCCAATGTATTAAGATGCAAATAGCTATTATGTTCAGATTGTGATGAAAAACTACAAAAATCAGGGTTTCACATTGTGTAGTTAATGAAACATTGCACATATACCAAGATTCATGTATGAAAAATATTATAAATACCTGAAGTTAAGCTTGGGTAAACAGTTATTGCAAATGTCAGCAGAATGGTGAATTTATGTCTAACAAATGTTTTTATATTGTATGTGGATTTCTAACACAGTAATCTTGTTCTGTATCATTCAAACTACATGCAAATAAGTAAATATATTAAATATATCTATTGTTTTTTCTTTTCAAGTTAAAAAAAATCAATTTCTAGAATAATCTCTTCCACAGTACTTTTTATCATAGATATTTATGTCTGTTGTTTGAAATGTTTACAGCCAGGTGAGGCCATGTTATTCAAATCATACCCTTTTTATACTACCTCCTTTAAGAAACTGACAAAGAACTTTTGCAAAATTGATCAAGTTCTAACCTGATCAATGATGGCAAAGTCATACCAACAACAGCATTGAGGATACAGCTATAAACTTTTACTGTCATATTGATATGCTGTTCTATTTTAATTTAAAAGCTATATCTTAATAGCTCTGAGGGAGTCTTAATCTTAGGCTTGCTGTTGCCTTTTTTAATTTTGTGATTAGAAAGTATGCTTTTTCAATTAAAACTTACAAAGTGCCAGCTCTTCACTTAAAAGTATACATGCACAGCATGTATGACCAAATAGACTACTTCCTTAAAAATAAGTACTTGCAAGGGTTATTTTCATACCTAGCATTAAGCATGTGCACTTTTATTGACATGCAGGAGAAAAGTCTTTTGATAGCCACAAGTGGTTTTTGCTTTACGGATTTATTAAACTCCTGTAGTGGTCAATAAGTTCAGGCCTCCTGTTGCTTAGCATTGTATTAGTTTATGTATCATTGTTGCTGACTTCTGAAGGCCAGCTAGAAATCTGAGAACTTGGTGCTTTTAGTTGTTTGACTGTTCTGTAAACCACCAAAGGTTTTGCATTTCCTAGGGCAGTCAGTTACAAAGAGTTTCTGGGGCATCCCAAAACTGCAGACTTTGTGGGACAATTTGGAGACATACACATAGCCAGTCTTTTTGCTTGAATTGTTTTGCATCATATTTCATGCTAAAAGAGTTTTGAGATAGGACTTTTCAAATGTTCTTACTATCAATTAAATATCTAAAGGAACTATAGTATGACAACATTCTTGAATTACTTTACTGTACCATTGAACACTTAAGTATAAAAGTAACCAAGTCTGGTTTCATCATTTGGGTGGCAATTGCTGAAACTCTTAGATTAGTCCTCAAGGAGATTACTGTTTATGGAAACTCAGATTTTTATTTTTTTTTTTTTTAATAGACAAAGTAACTCATGGCCATTTATTTCTGATACTATAGGAAAGGATAGTTGTAATTGATTAAAGGGATACTCTAGTGTTTAAAAATCTAGCTTGAATGTAGATTTAGGTACGTAGGCTCATAATGAATTCTGTGTGTGGCCATAGAGTTAACAAATCCTAGCTGTGGATAGTGCTTTTGTTTTAGAGGCAAGGTAAGATTGATTTGAGGATCATTTCTGAGGAATACCTAATAAAATAATGCATTCTTTTTAACTGCCAAAAGTTGTATTTTGACAGCATCAATAATACAGTATTAAACATTGTCATTAGTATCTGTGCCTTATTTTAAATGAATTTTTTACTGTTTTCAGGCAGCTACTAGACTGTAAGAACAGGGTTCAGGTGTCTGTATTATGAAATTATTTTTTCCATTGTGTTCTTTATTCATTGAAACTATTCACACTAATATTCAGGCTCAGCTTCTTGCATTCTCTTTAGCTCTCAAATGGCTAGGAATCAGTTTTACTGTTACAGAATGTGCATGTATAATATCTGGTCAAAGTTGGAATGACAGCTGTGTAACACCACTAAATTCATATAGTTGTCTCAGTGAATCTAAGAAGTAAATTTATAAGCTATCCCATGCATAAATTACAATCTTTGTGATACTTTCTAAAAATGCTATTTCTAGGATGTGTCAGAAGATCCAGACAGAATTAATCCTTTTCCTGTGTGTCCTTGTGATGCAGAAGCACGTATGTACTGAGGATGAAGGATGCCTCCACAAAGCTATTCTTCATATTATACCCCTTGATGTGAAACCGATGTCTTTGAAAAACAGTTGTCTTTTGCCTCAGTGTTCCCTGAGAGTACTTGAGGCTGTTTTGCTGAAGGAGTACTTTTAAGTGTGACCCAGGATTTGCCCATCCTCTAAACTGAAATTGAAGAATCCTTCTGGCAAACTGTCTCTTTCTGCAGGGCTGAAAAAAGTCTAATATTTTGTAAATGGAAGAGGCCAAGTTGAGGTATTGCTGATAGCTTGCTGAAGAGTGGAAAAAGCTATGCTATTAATTAGCTGGGTATGAAGAAGTTAGCATGTCTTAATGATCATGTATGTCTTTGTTTTGAAGGAACTATACCTATTTCTCAGGAAAGAGTCCTCTACTCTTGTATCACACAGGTACTGCAGTTCTACACTCCTTAATAATGCTTACAGATTGTTGCTGGTATTAAAAAAAAAAATAGCAGCAGCCTTCCAAGAGCTTACCCTCCACAGTCAGACATAAATAATTTTTTTCCTCTCCTGTAGGTTGCTTTATCAGAGGCTGCAATTTTAACACTTGAGGTGCAGGAGGGATGGGAGAGAAGGAAAGGACAAGGTACACATGCCCTGTGCTGAGTGACATCAGCCCCACTGTATATAACAGGCTGTATTTTCATTTTCTGGCATCTGAAGTAGGCAAGTTTGGCATTAAACATCTTTATGCATTTAGCATTGAAGAGATAAAGGTTTTGAAGATGGATGCTACAGTGCTAATTTGTGATTTTTGAGGTTTTTTTTCTTAAAGGAGTGGACATTGTTAGTGTGGAAACTTGAAAGTATCTTATATGAAGCTTACATTTTAGACTAGCAAGTGGTTGCTTTTGCCAGTTCATCTTGCCAGATCTTCCAGTTCTACAGAAGACTGAATGTCTGTCTTCATGTGGAGATTTGCAGCTATTTTTGTGCCTAGTTTTCTGGTGCAAAGTGAAACTGGTGGTTCATAGTCAACTATTTCAGAATACAAAACCATGCAAATTATGGTATTGGTGTGAAGTTATTCCAGCTTTGCGCAATGCAAATGCTAAAGTTCATGAAAGCAGTCCATTCTCTTGAGAGGAGATTTCTATTGAGCTGATGTTGCATTAGTGAAGGAAAAAAAATGAAGCCGTTTTTAATAGCCTTGGTAAAAGCCAGACGGTATAGTCTAATTTTTGCCTTCAGTCTGCCATCCTACACACAGTAATCATTGTAGGCTACAGATAAAGATTCACAGAGAAAATAGATTGAGCATGCTTGTGTTGTTAGTGCTTGTGTTATCCTTCCTTAAACAATTAATGTTTGTTCTATGAGTTAAATAACTTGTTTTATGTCTCAGAATGAAACTAAATGCAACTGTTTTTCTCCCTCTTTCCACATACATTCTTTAGGACTTAATGATGTTATTTATTGCTCATCTACTTTAAACATACTAAGAGTGTGTCTTGTTAGAAGTGAGGAGAGATGAAGATGAGAATTCTAGACAAAACACAGGGCTAGCTATTTAACATGATTCGGTTTGAAGCAACTGTGAAGAATTTCCATCTTGAAAACTTTTCACACAAATTTTGTTAATACCTATGAATTGAAGTGTGCATTCACAGCTCTACGTTTGACTTTTAACTTGGTTGGAAAAAATAAAGTGCTTTCATTCTAAATAACTGTAGCTGCAGTATTGTTTCTGTTCTTGTTTTTTTGCATTGAGTACTAAGCTGGACTCAGATACTAACCTGCCATAAGGGAGGCAGGAGGTGTAGGTAGCACTGTCCCTTAAAGGGATAAAATGGAAATATCCACCTAGTCTTCAACTATTGCAGACCTAGAATATTTTTGTTTCTGTACTGACAGGAGTTTTGTAGTATATCTGTATAGATTGTGGCTTCTGATCATTGCTGTAAAATGAGATCTGTTTTCAGCTTGAATGTGTTCCATAGTGGTTGTGATTCATAGGGATCACTGCTTCAAATCAGGCAGTCATTACTTTGAGTGCTGTAGTGTAGATGAGCAACTGAATGTTGGGGTATCAAACGTGTTCTTTGCTGTAACAAACACACATTTATCTTTCCCACCTTTTTATTCCCCCCTTATTCTTTCAAGTGATTAGAACCATTTGAATCCCTTTTGGAAAGTGATAGATGCCAAAATGTGATCAAATGCTTTACAAACATGCTTCTGACTTCTTTTAATACCATTCTGTGACTAACAGTTTCCTGTGGATTTGGGAAGGAGGCTGTTTTCTGTATGTATAGGCTTGAAATAAACAGAACTAGTGGACTTTACTGTAATTGTATTCTTGATACTTTCTTTTTTACATAAGGACTATGTATATTGTGAAACAACCCAAATTTAAATATCAAGATAAATTTACATTCCAAAACTGCCTGCTCTTACAGGTGTAGGTGTTGAAGTACATATGCACCCTAGTATCATACTTCAAAGTGACCTGTAGACAGTATAAAATAGTTCTTGTAATTTATTATGTCTCTTTGTCAAATTGAATCTTGAACTTTCAAAAAGCCCAAATTATGTTTGGATCTCGCAGTTGCCCTTCTACTCATTTCAGATATTCTATGGATTTAAAGACTTAGTGCAGTAAGTATTCCACCTTCAGAGAAATAGCTGATCTTTTTGTCTTTGTCATAACAGGCTTTCATTACATCTCCTCTGCATGAGACAAACTTCTGCAAGAGTTAAATGGTTTTTAGGAGGGTTTCAGAGGAGAGTTGCCACATAAAAGAAACCTGTGGCATGTTTGGTTCTAAATGGGGGAATAGCACAAATACAGGCAGCTGTAATGACAGTGCACATTTCATTACTTTTGAGTTGTGTTTTCTCATGTGAATCAGCTGTCTTATCTGCTTAGTCTATAAAAGTAGAATGATGGATTATTGGGGAGTTGAAGTCTTAGTAGCTCTTGGTTGTAAGGAGCTAAAACTCTTTCCATGCTGATGAAATTGCAACGATGAATATGGACAGGAGCTATTTGTTGTGTGTTTGGTTTGGAGAGTAGAAATCTCTTCTATGTCTGCTAATAGTACTTTGTCTTGAAGCATAAAGGCATAAGCATTTATGTCTGTTTGCTTAAAATTTTATTTATTAAAATAACAAGTTTGACTGAACAGGAAGGAAAAAACAACCTTGCTGCATTAGTTAATTTCTGAATGACTGTCACCTCATATTCCAGCTGCAGGAAACAGTAAATTTACAAAAATGCAGTTAACCATCATGGTACAAGTAGTGATAAAACTTGATTTTCAACATTGTTAGGCTATTACTACTGAAACAATAAAGTAAAGCAGGACTGAAGAAATAGGTGTCAAATTTTGTTCTGAACCTTGTGTTTTAGCAAGTCTGAAAAGCTTGACTTTTTAATCAGCCAAAATGAGTGGTGATTGATGGGAGTGTTAATTCTGTGCCAGCAGCAAGCATTAGAATAAGAATAAACAGAGTAGCTGGTTGTAAAGTGAGTCCTGCCCACCAGAGCAACTGTCTCTTTTTGATTTTTTTGGTTGTTTTTGGCCTTTTTTTTTTTTTAAGATGTTACAGTTCAGGTGCTTTTGGCTAAAGAGAGCAGATAGGGAGTTTTCTAAATCTGTTAGCTGGATGATGGGGTAATGCTGCAAGAAGTACCTCTGGAAATACTGTCCTGTGAGTGGTGGCATCATTAATTGTTACTGGGCTCGAACACAGGCACATTCTAATCAGGACTGGCCAATGTGTGCTGTCCTGGGTATCAGTGTAGGGAATTGCATAAAACTGGAGAAGGAGGAGTATTTAAGATGCAGTACAAAAACTCCCATTGCCTCAAAAAGGTGCCTGTGATTGTGGGGAGACTGGGGCATGATGGTAACTGGAAGTCTTTCCAGTCCTGTGTGCCTAATCCAAGCAGTGAGGCACTTCACAAAGGAAGGCTGGAGACCTGATGCTCACAGAGCCGTCATCTTTCCTCACAGTTTCTGCTTTTCCACCCTTCTGACATGTTGGGGCACATCTGCTTGGCTGAATTTCCAGCTCCACATCCTTGTCACTTATCCAAGTGAGAATAAAATGCCTTCATATTTGGCACACCTAGTTTCCCAAGTGATGTCTTGTCCCTCAGGTCTTCCAGGTTCTCACTGCAAAACAACTTAGTGCCATTGAACTGTGAAAACCCAGAGGGTTAGGCTTATGCCCTACACACAGCAACTGTGGAGGCCACTATGATATTGAAAGTGAAGCTGCATTAAGAGGGTTTGTGTATGCATACATATTTTTTAAACATGAATGGCCTACCAATATTCTACTGGCTCATTAAAAATGCCTACAGTTCTGAACCTTTGCAAATGGCAGGTTGGTGACTGGTTAGGGAGAAATCCTGCTGCTTAGCGGTGAGTGGTTAGTTGGTTTGGGTTAGGGATTTTTTCCTATTCACCCATCTTGCCACCCCCTCTGAGTGCAGTTTTTTAAATTTCCTGGTGCTAATTTGAATTTTCATTTTCACAAGCTTATGTTTTTCATGGTTTTCTGACCACACAAAATAATCAGGATGTTGGGTAGAGTGAGGCTGTGTCATTCACAAAATGTTCTGTAAGCACGTTTGCATTCATTTCAGTGCAGAAGTATCATTTTTCCCTTTCCTCTGCACTCCAATACATATGTTTCTAGTGGTGGTGTGTTCTTTACCATCTTTAAAGGGGTCTTTCCACCTCACAGTTCTTGATTCAAAAAGCAGATTAGTTGCTTTCCAGATGAACAGAGAAGTTTGCTACTAAAGCTAAAAACCAGAAAGTGGGGGAGGACGACAGACACAAAACCCACCAAACCAACAAAAACCACCAAGCCACAAACAGCAATTCAAAGCTCAAGCAAAAAATTACAATTCATTTGTCTCTAGCATAAAGTAGTGCTGCAGCCAAATGACAACAAATGCTGCCCTCCATTTTTCATTAAAAAGAGGACTTAAGAATGCCTTTCTGAGCAAGGAGTCTCTGACAGTACAAATTGTTTGGGATTTTTAGGGTTAGTGCACTGTGATATAGTTGACTTTCTAAGTGAATATTTGGTTTGTGACCTCAGCCACCTTACTCTGAAGGGTTGTAAATAAGAGGAGAACGCCCTTGGAGCTTTTCTTCACAACTGGCAGCTTGCTAACTTCTGCTTTTACCATAGGGACTAGCGAGGCGTATTTCAGCATTTCTGTTTGCAAGATTTGGCATACACACTTCTGATGCTGCTTTCTAACTTGATAGTTCTCTCAGAGCTCTGGAAAATGAGCATTTAGCCTCTGGTCATTCCTTTAAATTTAGTTTGGTTTAAACAGTTCTGATATCAACGATTCTGCTTATGTGAAAGGAACTGTGAGACCTCTCTTCCTTTGTAAACTCACCAAATCTAAATCTTGATTGTAATAGGCTTCTGGATTGAGAAATCATTAATTTACAGATCTTAGTATCCTCATTAATACTTTTTCTTTCTGACAGAATTGATTTGTCTGTGGTTCCTTTGTGGTATTTACTTACATATAAGATATTTACTCTTGCTAAGATATTTTCCCTATCTTATAGAGCAGTTTCTACCCATTAGCCCTAAGGTATGTCTCCAAAATACTGCTGTCCATGTGTTTCTGGTTTAGCATAATTGTCTCATTTTCCAGGCATTTATATGAGGTTGTCTTTTGGCTAGGAAATGCATCCAGAACTTGAACTGATTTTAATAGTCCAAAATAATATCTTCACTGGTGATTAGGAGCAGTACAGTTTTTGATGAAAATATCATTTGTGCTGGCTTTGCAGCAACATAATTTAATTTTATGGTCTCAACAATGAGAGACTCAAGTGAGAGGAAGAACTGATTTGAGTCAGATGGCTCCAGCAAGCCCTACCTTTTTGTTCCCACATCTAGTGGTGAAATAAAGAAGATAAGCAGCAGTTACTGATTTAAGGATGGGTTGAACCCAGCCTCAGTCACAGCTACTGTCTGATATGTATGGCTGCTTCTCCCCACGGCACTGCCAGCAGTCAGCTCTGCAGAGCTGTGGCGTGTGTGGGGCAGCTGCAGCACTGCTGCTCCCTGGTAAGCTTCAGACACAGCGTTACCTCTGGTAAGAGACCCTTTTGGTGAACCCTTTGTTCCTTTCCTAGCTGAACTACCCTGAGAAGATGTTCCAAACTCTCATCTAAAGTTGTGTTGATAATTCAGTTATAAAAGAACCTGGTTTTCTTTCCTGTGTGTGCCTGTTCTGGGTTAAGATGTGACTGTGTGCTTTGCATGCAAGGAGAATCTTCTAATTTTAAATGCACAAGCTCAGACTTTCTAATCTCCCTATGTTTTGTGTGCCACAGAGACTGTCCAGCCAGTACTGGGCTGTGTAAAAGCCTGCAGTGGGACTTGCTGGTGGCTCACCTGAGCTCAAGCTCTCTGTGGCCTTGCTGAGAAATGCTCCTCTTCCAGGCAGCAACACTGCAGCCTTTTAGAGGTCCAGCTGCTTTTTCATTGAGTTCACACTATTTCATGGACAAAGAAGCATCACATAAAATAACATTATCACTTTCAGAGATGAGCAGAGTGGTGGGTTGATTTAGATTGTTTGTTTCTTTTCTAGACCAGTATCACCTGGGATCTCAGTGCCATGTATACTTTTGTGAAGAGTTTATGCATTGTTGCTTCCCTTCTCTGTCCCACCCACCTGTCCCCACAACTTCTGCATGAAAACAAAGCAGTCCTGGCAATTACTTGAATTTCTTTCTGCCTCCTAATATTTGGACATGTCAGTATCTAAAAACATACCTTTGCACTTGCAAGAAGTAATTCTAAACTAGACAGCAGCGTATCTGTCACCTGGAATAAACACCAGTTGTAAGATGCTTTGCTGAATTGTTCAGGCTTGCAGGAGACAGGAAAAGTTGTAAATGAAATCCTGCAACAGTCTTTCAGTAGATCATAGTTACTTTTTTTGCCTAAAATAAGAATCTAAAAGCAAAGCACAGTTAAATTCAGGACTTTGGCTATCTGTGGCAAAGCTACTACTTCCAGTGGGCCCTGGATTTTGCCAGCCATTATACAGAGCTTCCCAGAGGAGCCTACTGTCAAATACATTTACAGTACATTTACAAATAATGAAAACAAGTAGCTAGAGGGAAGAAAAGGCATTGCAAGGTCACTTCTGCTGTTATTTTCTTCCAAAAATGTATGAGAAATAGAAAAAATGAGCCATTTTTATTCAGCTCAAAAAATGGAGAAAAGAAACATAGGCTTCCAAACCCATGAACCATATGGCAAGTACAAAACTTCATGCTGCAATTGGAAAGACTTTTTATGATAATGCTAGTATTATAAATCTAAAAATTATTTCATTTAACCCCACAGGGCTTATTTGAGAATTGGCAAATTCTGCATCAGGCTAACTTATTAAAGTTTAAAAAGTAGGTATTAATAAAATATAGATGGAACCACTGTACTCCCATGGGACTCTTACTTACCTCTAGTCTGAGGCTGACATAGATACATTTGAGTCAAACAGGAACTACTACTTATTACAAAGCTGTTAATCATGGAGCTTTAATGAAACTGTTTAGCACACTGAATAGCAATGTAACAACGCATAGAAAATTAGCTTGTTTGCCATTGATTAATGATAGATAATGGGTGCAGTTCCCCACACTGGGACATTTGAGCAGTTTTCTGTCATGTACAAACTCAAGTTCATTAAGGCGTGCCTTTACTTGCACAGTCTGATTCAGCATAAAAACCCACACAAGCAGGAATGCACTTTAAAGATAAAAACAAGATTCATATTTAGCTTACTGAAAGTGTAATGAACCTCCAAATTATTTCATTCAGATAAACAAGACAAAGATTGAAGGACAGAAGAACAAAAGTTGCTTATTTCAACAATACCTTGAAAAGAGTTACAGGAGAACTACAGGTCAATACATTGAAAGAAGACAGTAGGAAAAAGTTACCAGCAGTTATTCTTCTAAGTGTTGAATTTCAAAGAAGTAGCAACCTGGTAAACTTGTTTAGGTACCAGCTGTGTGCATGTAGGGTTATGTATCTCACATGCCATCTTTGTACAGAAAAGGTGTGTACAAATGAACTTAAAACCAGAGAGAGTTACAATTCTCAGCTTCTCAGCAATGGACAGATTTTGTATCTACAGATACTGCTGAAGATTCACTTCAATTCAGAGCCACTGTAATTTTCTCTGTAAATGAGAAAAGGAGTTTAAGACCCAGCTTTTTTCCTTTTACTTTGTCAAATATAGTGAGCTCACAGGTTTTACTACTTTTCATATTTAGTTTGAGTCTAGGCTTGCTAATAGTACACAAAATGTAACAGCTTTTGTAACATTTTTAATACACCAAAGAAAATGTTTATCATCAGAAACTGCTACTCCAATTCCACTTGCATTGTTATACTTTTAAATTCCACTATAAATTGTGTAAAGTAAAGCTCCCCTAACCCACCCCCCCCCAAAAAAAAAAAAAATTAAGGAACAGTAAACTCCGATATGGTGCAAATCAATCTTTAGTGGGCTTTTTCATTCACCTCGTTGAAAACCAGCATCAACTTTCTGATAGGCCAGAAATAGTTTAACTTCCAGCCAGGAAGAGGATCTCTGCTGCTTTTGGCCTTTCTTTCTTCAGCTCCTCCTAGCACAGAAGCAACTGTAGTATAATTTAATGCTTAATGCTGTCTGAATTACTGCAGCCCTTCACATGTCAGATGCAGGATTTCCCAGACTCTCTGCAGGGCAGACAACTTCTAGACCTGCTCTGTGAGCGTGTCACACGCTTGGTTTTCCTGAACAAGCTCCTCTCTGGTAGAACATCCTAAGAAAGTGTTTGCAGCTTCCTTGTGTTGCTCTGACCTCCTGTCAGATGTGAGCCAATTCTACACAGCATGCAAGCTTCTTGAGCCTGAAGTACAAAGAGAAGAATGTCATTTTGTGGTGGTCTGTTACTAACATTGCAGTAAAGCAAAAGCAAGCTGTGGTGTGCCATTCTGTGCAGGGGGTGAGGATAATGCTGTATTATGTGGAGGCCACCTTGTGGCATTGTGGAAGTAAAACCCAGATGTAAAGAAACAACAGCACCCAGACTGCAGACCAAGAAATTAGGATCCTAAACTGCTTATATTTTTAGAACCCAAACATCAGTGTGATGTGTCATTCTAGCCTCATGTGAGTGATTACAGGTGCTGTTCATACAAGTAAGAACACAGGAATTTGAGGACGTGTGTAGCACCATTCTGTGGGTCATAGCTTCTTACCTAGTCAGCTTAATGAATGTTGCAATTATTAAACCTTCTGCTTGCATGGTTAATGCACAGTTGCTGCTTAACAGAGATGTAGGGACAAATTTTTACAGAGAACAGGAGCAGATGAGAAGTGCAAAGTTCTTTGAAACTGACTTCCAGGTTACCATCACATTGCATATTTGTTCTGCTTGGATGAGGGAGTCTGGAAATTTTTACAGCAGGAAAATTATGCTCCTTTTCCCTGCATTAAAGTAGTAATTAAATTTCCTCCACTGAAGAATGAATTTGAATTTAGTAAAGATGAGTTCCACTGCAACCAGACAAAACTGGCCAACATCTTGCAATTCTGATGTCAGCATTTGCTATCTCCTAGGATGAGTGTGCCAAAATAGACTATCCTCTTCATGGTTTTGGACATATGTTATAAGAACATGAAAACAGTTCATTCCTGAAAAGAAAAAAAAAACGTCCTGAAGAAGTTTATCTGGTCATCTTAAGGTGAAAGCAACCAAGGGAGTAGGAGAATGTTATCTCTCTGAGACAGGAAACTCAATCGTACATGGTGGCTCCATGCTGAGGAGGTGGACATGTTGGAGATGCAGGAATTATTCTGACAACTGCAAAGTTTGCAGGGGATTAAGAGATTTTCTGACCCAACCAATCATTCAGATTGCCAAAGACATCTTAGGTCATCGAGCCCAACCAGTAACCTGACACTGCCAAGTCCACCACTAAACCTGTCCCTAAGCATCACATCTCCCTGTCATTTAAATACTTCCAGGAATGGGGACTTCACCACTTCCCTGAGCAGCCTGTTCCCATGCTTGGCAATGCTTGTGATTAAGAATTTTTTCCTAATGTCCTCTCTAAACCTCCCCTGGTGCAATTTGAGGTAATTTCCTCCTGTCACTTTACTTGGTTGACAAGGCTGATCACCACCTTGCTGCAGCCTCTTTTCAGGTAGTTTTAGAGAACAATAAGGTCTCCCCTGAGCCTCCTTTTCTCCAGGCTAAAAAAACCCAGCTTCCTCAGCTGCTTCTTATGAGACTTGTGCTGCACACCTTTCATCAGCTTCATTGCTGTTCTTTGAATGGGCAATCTGTTTGAAGCAGACTGGGATTCTGGAGCAACTGAAGATGGCCCGTGCACTTTCTGCCCCAAGTCAGAGACCTTCTCAGGGCATCTTACATTCAAAGGAAAAAGAAAACTGTTGCTGAACTCAGGCTGTAATCCTGACTTTTCTATCAGTTACCATTTCTAGTGTAGCACAGCAAATTGCCAGTAGATGGCACACCACAATAATTTTATTTTTAATGGTGCTGAAAGAAATATGCAGCACAATTTTTGTGAATTTTGTGTTTAATCATAGTAAAGCTCCTTGGGTAGGAGAGAGCTCAGTTAATGAGTTACCTGGCTGTGGCCTTTCACAGTACACCTTTATGCTGAACTCTTCCATCTGTCTTCAGTTTGTGCAGTCTCGTAAGTCTGCTCATTTGGCTGGGCATTTTGATTTCTTCTCACCTCTAATTAGTTTACCAGAAACCAAATAGGATGTAGCTATGAGTATTCCAATGCACATGCAGCCCTTATTTATTCTTTGTGTCAGCAAGGATTATATCTCTGCTTCCACTGAACATCTGTGAACCAGCATTACTCATCTGCTGTGTTGAGTGTTGTTATCTGTGTGTCTATATCGGGGGACTGACTCAAAGATTAGGGTGAGATTAGAGGCAGATGGCTGAAGGTGCTCCCTGCTTGTCTGGTCAAAGTCAGCACCTCTGCACATTCAGCCTGAGTCATGCACATTTTTGGACTGCTGCTGTTTGTGGTCCAGGATCTGTCTGATGTATTACAGTGCCAGTGACAAATCGTCTCCATTTTCCAAAGCAAATATTTAAATACTAGCCAAGGTACTATCACCTTTGTGGAAAAAGAAGCTTTCAGAGCAATTACGCCGAAATGTTCCAAGATGAATTAAATGCTTTACTAATGGTGACCTGTAAGCAAAAGACACATAGCAAGTTTTGCTAGAATTCTGACTGTGAAGAGGATCCATCAAAAATAAGTTCTGCTACATTTTTTGCAAACCCTTTTTATCCTTGGGAGATTAAAAAACTCTCCTACTCCTTAAGAATATCCAACAGTACTCCAAACCACTTCTTTGTAAACAGCTGTGATGATCTTGGATTCTGATGGATTTAATAGGTTTCCTCTGCTTTTTCAGTCTGTATGTGAACCTAAAGGTGACAAGAATGTGAAGACAGATTTCAGTGTTACCAGTGTGATGACATTGCATTAATCTAGGCCTTCTCTTTGTTCAACCTGTTAGGGACTGTCAGCTCTCACCCATCTGGCTGACAGCTCTGTACTGTTAGTGACAGCTGGTGGAAGCAACTCAGACAAAACCGAAAATTTCCTTGTGAGTAGGGAGGAACTTCTAAGAAACTTGCAATTTTCTATGTTGTTGCAACTCAATGAATGAATCCATCAATGAAGAGACAGCTACAAAATATGGAGGTCATTTTTGACTGCATTTTCATGTTCTTAGAATTGTTTGGTTGCTTCCATTGAACTGAAACTGTTACTTGGCAGTTTTATCGGTCTTTTGATGGGAGATCCACTTGAAATCAAGCTGCAGAAACAACTCTGCTAATAGTAAAATTCCTTCTAGAATAAAAACAGTATCTCCCAGCTGATGTACTAATTATTCTGATAAAAATAAACCTTGATGTTTTTATGTCTTTGTTTCCATTTGTACTACTGTTGTTCTGGGATTTGTTCTTTTTACTTAGCAGACAAACACCCACAGCACAACATAACTGACAAAACAGCATTGTGCAATCCACTCAAGCTGCTGTTGTAGCTAGTCTTACGCAGAAAAAGGCAGTAACAAACCACATCAATTTTTTTCTCAGTTGCATACACTTTAAACTATGGTAACTGATATATCTGTATGAAAGAGAACTTCTAATATGTAAAGATGTTACATGGTGAGAGGACAAGGGACTACTGACCTAGCACTGAAAAGTGTGCATGCCAGTGCAGCAATTGGATTAGGCAAGATGCTGTTTAATTAACTTCTCAATTTGTTAACAGGCTGACATATAGAGGGAGAAGCTTCTTGGACTAGATTATGAAAGAACAAATTTTTCTTTGGGCTCTCCAAGGATTTAAACCGAGAAGCTGTATTATGTAGGTTATAAAAACAACTTATTAGGATGAGGAAATCCTTAAAACTGTAGGGCACGGTCATTCATATTGTGGCCTGACAGCATCCTAATACAGTTCCTTGAGGATATTTTTTTAAAGGCACATTTTTACACTAACTGCATGATAAATCACTGTGATGTCTGTCTGTAGTGCTGCAGTGAATCTTGTCAATAGCTTTAACATAAATGCTTTTGCTTTGTAGTTCTATTGGTAAGTACTTCCAGCACTATTCAGTTCTGACATTCTTGGGTTCCCACCTGGAAAATCCTGCTGGAGTTTTAGGTGTTTGTGAGCTCATGTGACAGAAGAACCTCATAAACCATTCATTTTCCTGATTTTTTCCAAAGAAGAGACAGCTCAAAGATGCCAATAGACAAATAATTCACAACATCCCACTGACATAGGATGACATATGCTTTTTAAATGATTCAGTATTTTTATTAACAGCTGATGACCAGGTTCATTGTGTTTAATGACAGTGTTTTCCACAGGTTAGGTAATTAACTCTGACACAACTCAGAGGGGTGGAAGGAAGTGTAGCCACAATGTGGCAGTGAATACATGTGACATAACAGGACATGCTTTGTCAAGGGAAATTGGGCAGGGAAGGCATTACAGCCCCTTGAGGCTTCTCCCCTCAGTCTGCGCTGCCTACTAAGTAACAAATTTTCACTCCATTGTAACTAACCAAACAAACTGCATTGCTACATGCTACAAATCATTTTAAAGATTATGCTTAAGGCCAATTTTAATCTTTTGTAAGATTCTTTTTGTTACTTTTTCCCCCCTAGAAAATGTTTATTAGCATTTTCATGATAACTATTAAGATTTCAAACCACAATGCCTTAAATACATCCATTACCAAGAAAGCTACGTTTGCTTCTTACACATCCATTTTCTGTAGGTCCCCATTTCGGTCATTCCACCCTTTAAGTGCCCAGTTATGCTTTGCCCGCCCTCACAC